AATTTGAATTAATTAAAATTTGGACCGAATTAGTAGGCATGTTTATCCAACCACACCACACGCGTCATCACGTTCAATAGCTGCGCCATCACGTTCAATGGCTGCGTCATCACGTTCAGTAGCTAGGCGCGCAATGGTTTTTGGTCATGTAACTCTATTGTAAATAAAACATGTAAAATACTGAAAATTTTTTTAATAAAAAACGTTTTAATAACTAACCAATGGTTTTACTAACCCTGCTCTTGATTTACGCTACGACAGAGCTATTTTTAGATAACATAGGAAATTGCGCTAAAATTGTCACTAGACTTTTTAATTACCGTGTTGTTTTTTTGTTTTGTTTTTTTGCACGATTACAATACTTTCTCTATACTTCGTATATACGAGAAAGTAAAATGATTGTATCACATTTTTTCACGTTTGCCGTAAATTGTGAAAAGTTGGTCAAAGTATACGAACTGCCTGGGGCTTCCCCCCCCCCCCCCCACCCCCCCTGGCGGTTTGGTAGTTCCGCCTCTGTTTAGTCATTGTTTTAATATGATCACTGTAGACAAAACTGTTCCAACAGAACAGCAAAAATTCCAGTATCAACGTGTTTTTCTTTCTGTGGATAATTTGAGCGGTGGTCACGGTAGGCGTGTCAAGTGGTTGGCGGTCAAAGTCAGGTCAAGACAGAAGTGGACTGAAGGGTTGGCCAGCCAATCTGTAGATGTCAACTTACAGCAAGCTCTGGCTGTACTGTCTGGGGTCAAGTTGGATTCACGACATGGCTACACGCAACATACACGCACGACATTGCTACATGGCTACACGCAACATACACGCACAACATGGCTACACGCAATATACACGCACAACATGGCTACATGGCTACACGCAACATACACGCACAACATGGCTACACGCAACATACACTCACAACATGGCTACACGCAACATACACGCACAACATGGCTACACGCAACATACACGCACAACATGGCTACACGCAACATACACTCACAACATGGCTACACGCAACATACACGCACAACATGGCTACATGGCTACACGCAACATACACGAACGACATGGCTACACGCAACATACACTCACAACATGGCTACACGCAACATACACGCACAACATGGCTACACGCAACATACACTCACAACATGGCTACACGCTACATACACGCTACATACACGCACAACATGGCTACATGGCTACACGCAACATACACGCACAACATGGCTACACGCAACATACACGCACAACATGGCTACACGCAACATACACTCACAACATGGCTACACGCAACATACACGCACAACATGGCTACACGCAACATACACGCACAACATGGCTACACGCAACATACACTCACAACATGGCTACACGCAACATACACGCACAACATGGCTACACGCAACATACACGCACAACATGGCTACACGCTACATACACGCTACATACACGCACAACATGGCTACATGGCTACACGCAACATACACGCACAACATGGCTACACGCAACACACACGCACAACATGGCTACAACATACACGCACAACATGGCTACACGCAACATACACGCACAACATGGTTACACGCAACATACACGCACAACATGGCTACAACATACACTCACAACCTGGCTACAACATACACTCACAACCTTGCTACAACATACACTCACAACATGGCTACACGCAACATACACGCACAACATGGCTACACGCAACATACACGCACAACATGGCTACACGCAACATACACGCACAACTTGGCTACACGCAATATACACGCACAACATGGCTACACGCAACATACTCGCACAACATGGCTACACGCAACATACACGCACAACATGGCTACACGCTACATACACTCACAACATGGCTACACGCTACATACACTCACAACATGGCTACATGGCTACACGCAACATACACACACGACATGGCTATATGGCTACACGCAACATACACACACGACATGGCTACATGGCTACACGCAACATACACGCACAACCTGGCTACACGCAAAATACACGCACAACATGGCTACACGCAACATACACGCACAACATGGCTACAACATACACGCACAACATGGCTACACGCAACATACACGCACAACATGGCTACACGCAACATACACGCACAACATGGCTACATGGCTACACGCAACATACACACACGACATGGCTACACGCAACATACACGCACAACCTGGCTACACGCAACATACACGCACAACATGGCTACACGCAACATACACGCACAACATGGCTACAACATACACGCACAACATGGCTACACGCAACATACACGCACAACATGGCTACACGCAACACACACGCACAACATGGCTACAACATACACGCACAACATGGCTACACGCAACATACACGCACAACATGGCTACACGCAACATACACGCACGACATGGCTACACGCAAATTCCACACACAACATGGCTACAACATACAAGCACAACATGGCTACACGCAACATACACGCACAACATGGCTACACGCAACACACACGCACAACATGGCTACACGCAACATACACGCACAACATCGCTACAAGCAACATACACTCACAACATGGCTACACGCTACATACACGCACAACATGGCTACACGCAACATACACGCTACATACACTCAACATACACTCACAACATGGCTACATAGCTACACGCAACATACAAGCTACATACACGCAACATACACTCACAACATGGCTACACGCAACATACACGCACAACATGGCTACACGCAACACACACGCACAACATGGCTACAACATACACGCACAACATGGCTACACGCAACATACACGCACAAAATGGCTACACGCAACACACACGCACAACATGGCTACACGCAACATACACGCACAAAATGGCTACACGCAACATACACGCACGACATGGCTACACGCAACATACACGCACAACATGGCTACAACATACACGCACAACATGGCTACACGCAACATACACGCACAACATGGCTACACGCAACACACACGCACAACATGGCTACACGCAACATACACGCACAACATGGCTACAAGCAACATACACTCACATCATGGCTACACGCTACATACACGCACAACATGGCTACACGCAACATACACGCTACATACACGCAACATACACTCACAACATGGCTACATGGCTACACGCAACATACACGCTACATACACGCAACATACACTCACAACATGGCTACAAGCAACATGCACGCACAACATGGCTACACGCAACATACACTCACAACATGGCTACACGCAACATACACTCACAACAATCGCTACAACATACACGCACAACATGGCTACATGCAACATACACTCACATGGCTTCACGCAACATACACGCACAACATGGCTACATGCAACATACGCTCACAACATGGCTACAACATACATTCACAACATGGCTACACGCAACATACACGCACAATATGGCTACAACATACACTCACAATGCTTCACGCTACATACACGCACAACATGGCTACAACATACACTCACAACATGGCTACAAGCAACATGCACGCACAACATGGCAACACGCAACATACACTCACAACATGGCTACACGCAACATACACTCACAACAATCGCTACAACATACACGCACAACATGGCTACACGCAACATACACTCACAACAATCGCTACAACATACACGCACAACATGGCTACATGCAACATACACTCACATGGCTTCACGCAACACACACTCACAACATGGCTACAGCAACATTACACTCACAACATGGCTACAACATACACTCACAACATGGCTACAACATACACTCACAACATGGCTACAACATACACTCACAACATGGCTACAACATACACTCACAACATGGCTACAACATACACTCACAACATGGCTACAACATACACTCACAACATGGCTACAACACACACTCACAACATGGCTACACGCAACATTACACTCACAACATGGCTACACGCAACATACACTCACAACATGGTTACAACATACACTCACAACATGGCTACAACATACACTCACAACATGGCTACAACATACACGCACAACATGGCTACAGCAACATTACACTCACAACATGGCTACAACACACACTCACAACATGGCTACACGCAACATTACACTCACAACATGGCTACACGCAACATACACTCACAACATGGTTACAACATACACTCACAACATGGCTACAACATACACTCACAACATGGCTACAGCAACATTACACTCACAACATGTCTACAACACACACTCACAACATGGCTACACGCAACATTACACGCACAACATGGCTACAACATACACTCACAACATGGCTACACGCAACATTACACTCACAACATGGCTACAACATACACTCACAACATGGTTACAACATACACGCACAACATGGCTACACGCAACATTACACTCACAACATGTCTACAACACACACTCACAACATGGCTACACGCATCTTACACTCACAACATGGCTACACGCGACACACACTCGCATCATGGTTACAACACACACGCACAACATGGCTACACGCAACATTACACTCACAACATGTCTACAACACACACTCACAACATGGCTACACGCATCTTACACTCACAACATGGCTACACGCGACACACACTCGCATCATGTCTACAACACACACTCACAACATGGCTACATACAACAAACACAATATGTTTACAACATTACGCTCACAACATAGATACAACATTACGCTCACAATATGTTTACAAATGTTCGTTTACAACATGCTACAAGACTAGTTTCACGCTCAAAACATCAACAAGCACTTTTATTTTACAAAAATTAAGTATTCTCATCTAAATTTAACGTTTTAAAAGCCCCGCCCCCACCATAACAAACATTCAACGTGAAACCCCACTCGCATGACGTAAAGCTCCGCCCCCACACATCTCTAATCAACCTAGAATGTAAAGACCACTTGTAAGACCTTGTCAGTCCTGCTCTAAGCTGGGTCACGTGTCTCCCATTCAAGTTCTATATCCGGCAAGTAGCCGGCGGTCAAACTGGCAAACTACAGCCACTATGGCAGCCGGGTCGCACTAGCAGCATGACGCCACAAGAGAAGTTGGTGCTGGCGCTAGTCCTAACCCTGACCAGCAATGCCGTCCTGCTCCTGATTTTGTTATGGAACTCGACGTGCGTGCAGACGGACACGGCAGGGATGTTTCTGTGCAGGCCGACGACGGCCCGCGGGGAGATAATGAGTCAAGGTGTGCTAGAGAGACCAGGTTACCTGACCGTGCCGGTTGGTGCCGGCAGACCGGACGATGACCAGCAAGTCCTGCTGTCACTGCTGAGACTGAAGCTGTCGGACAGCCTGCACGCAGGCAGGGACGTGTACAGCACCATAAACTCGTTGCTCAAGTCTGGCGTTGTGGGGAGGGCAACACCACCCAACACAGACATTCACAACGTTGGTTTACATGGAGCAAGGGACGTCACACATGGAGCTGGATATAGAAGGGAAGTAATTCATACAGAGTTGGCTGATAGACAAACAAGTGATGTAAACACAGGAAATACAACTAGGCGGACGGAGGATGGTAATGGCCACCTAGTCGACACAATGAATGGCCAGACTATCGACACAATGAGTGGCCACACTATCAGCACTAGGGATGGCCACCGTGTCGGTACAATAGATGGCCTCCGTGTCAGTCCTATAGATGGCCAGCCTCTACACACAGAAGATGAGCAGACCATCAACAGAACCAAACGACAGGCCGCACGTAACAAGACGAGTACCCAGACAAAAGTTCACGAAATTTTTTCCTCACTAACGGAGGAGGAAGTGGACAAGTTCCAGAGTCCGGTGTCCGACACGCTCATCCCAGCACTCATACAGTTCGAGGTCATGATCATCAGGTGAGTACGGGGGCTTTTTATCGTGGTGTTTCTGGGTGCTTGGTGGGGTTGGTGTTATCGTGGTGTTTCTTTTGTTTGGTTGGTGGGGTTGGTGTCACTATCGTGGTGTTTCTGGGTGGTTGGTTGGTGGGGTGGGTGGGTGTCTCTATCATGGTGTTTCTGGAGGTTTGGTGGGGTTGGTGTCATTATTGTGGTGTTTCTGGGTGGTTGGTGGGTTTGGTGTCACTATCATGGTGTTTCTGTGTGGTTGGTGGGTTTGGTGTCATTATCGTGGTGTTTCTGGGTGATTGGTGGGTTTGGTGTCATTACTGTGGTGTTTCAAGGTGGTTGGTGGGTGGAGTTGGTGTCATCGTGGTGTTTCTTTTGTTTGGTTGGTGGGGTTGGTGTCACTATCATGGTGTTTCTAGGGTGTTTGTTTTCCATCTATTCATCCCAACGGTGTTTCTAAGGTGGGTTGGTTGGTGGAGTTGTTGTTATTATGTTGTTTGCTTTGGTGTCTATGGTGTCATTATAATGGTGTAATTCTTTGGTTATTGTGTTGTTATTGCCCTGGTGTTTTTGTGACATTGTAATATGGTAACCATGGAAACAACGGTAGTGTAATTTAATTGACTTGACATTGAAGTGTTCAAATTGTAGTGATACCATTGGTTTCATATCATCGTAGATGTTGAACTCAAGTGTTTCTATCTAGCCACGTAGGTGTCTGACCTGGGTTTTGGGTAAAGTATATGTGTATGTGCGATCTAAATATAGTATAGCGTGAGGCTATGCTATTTATGTTGTGTGATTATTTCTCTGGCCCTCGGGAATGAAAAGTAATCGTAAATTTTAGACTGCTGGCTACCTAAATTCAATAGTTCGGTATCCTAAGTGTTAAACCACAGTGAATAAACTGCAAAAAACAGTTTTGTTGTGTCTTGAACTATTGATGAAGACTGTGGACTTCCTGCTTTTGTTATTTTATATGGGATAGGTGTGTGACAAATGTCGAATGTCTCTTGTTAGGCCAATTTACGTTCTTGAAAGTTTTGATAGTAAAGATAGGTGGTCAAACGAATTGAATTGAGAAATATAATTAGAAAAAAAAAAACTATATGTGGCACCCGTAGATCTGGAGACCACAGTCCAGTTTATCCACGAAGTTGGACTTGTTGTTTAAATCCTCCACCATAAACTAAATTAAAAACGCAGAAGAAGAAAGAAAAAGAGTTGAGAACACTCAATAAGCAATGCTTATTAGTATCAGATCATAGCTTTAGAGGGCATGTAACGTATATCTATTAAGATAAAATTACATTTTATTATGATTAATTTACGGGTTGGGGGAAGTATTTGTTGAGATTTATTCGAGGGTTCCTCGCTTGTTGTAACAACCTAATTTTGTCGATTACTGAAAGTGGGACATACTTGAGATTAATTTCAGTAGACTTCCTTTGTTTACCTTTTGCTTTAGGTTATGGTTGAGGATTATACTCGGATTACCTTCGTGCTGTTTGGATTATAGTTGACCTAACCATATATTAACTATGAATGTTCAATTTTAGTTTTGTAATTGTTTAGATTCAAGTTTTCTTTTTTATTCATTTTTACTTTCTTGTATACGAAGTATAGAGAAAGTATTGTAATCGTGAATCGGTCAAACATAGTTTTGCAATCTTGTCCGTATATCTGTGTGTGTGTGTCTACGTATGTGTGTCTGTTACACGATAAATTGAGTACCGTTACAGCTAGGTTGGTAAAATTTCTTATATAAGTATTATATCAAATTCGTAGTTCTGTATCAGCTTTTCAGCGATTTCCGATAACCGGAAGTGGAAATTTTTCTATTTTCAATTTTTCAAAAGCCTATAGCTTGATTACTGTTTCAGATAGATAAATGAAATTTCACAAGTAAGTGAAAGATGTAATTATCTGCCTTCATTCAAATTTTGAGTAATTTCCGTTGACCGGAAGTAGTAATTTACGCTTTTTCCGATTTCTGAAAAAACGCATGTATATTTATAAATTTACTAAAGTAAAGTACTAATAATATTCCGCACTATTATACACAGATTGTTTGACTTCACTTGGAGCGCAATTCTTTTTTCTACGAGATACTATTCTATTTTTAAAAGTTCAAGTAATTAAAAATGGATTAAAAATTATGTCTGTATCCCGAGTTGCCATTCCCCGTAGTGTTGTATGAGAATATGCGAAAAAGTTTAGGGGAGATCACTCGCGGTTTATTAGATTTATGATTTGATTCTTTTTGAGGATTTAGTTGAGGGTGTGGGATATTGACAAAGACTGATACTGAGTTCAACCGATAACAGAAAAATATTTAGTCAAACAGTGTAGCTGAAACTTTGACAATTGTCTTTTATTTTATGTTAAAGTATGTGTACACGCTGCTAATAGGAACAATTAAATTCTAAATGTAAGAAAAATATATAAGCTAGAGTAGTTTATTAGTTATTTGCTGTGTATCCTAATTTATAAAAGCCCAATGTGCGCACATCTCTCTCTCTCTCTCTCTCTTTCTCTGTCCGCAAAAAATTCTCGCCGGACATCACGTCAGAATCGGCAGCGATATATCGAGAATTTTTTACGGACTTTTGTTGAAAATAATATGTTAGATGTTTTAAATGTATAACCACAATTTTATTTAAAGAAGAAAAATAAAAATTTAAGGCGTATTCGAATGTAGAGAAACAGTATTATTTATGCAACCGGAAAAGCATTAATATATGTGAAAAAGAACGCATAAAACTGTGACGTCACTATTGCTTATACATTAACTATTGACGTCATCTGCCTAAATAGCGAAGATGTTAGTGTACATTAAACCACGCAGGTGGTGCGGGTTCGAGACACAGCAAGTCAACTTGGTTAATGTATTTATTTTTATTATGCTCGGGCTAAACTTAAAAAAAAATTCTTTTAGGAATCTAGATCTAGATCTAGATTGTCGGGTGTCCGATAGGGCACTTCCCGGCGCCGCAGGCGCTTCAAATTTGGCAGGATCTTGCCTTGGGGCGACAGAACACGGGGGCCGGTTGGCCGAAAAGTCTACGATGAGGGGGTCAAAACTGACCTCGACTGACCGGTACCTTATATGAGCTATAAATCGAAAAAAAATGTCCACGGATTAAACCTCTTCATAACTCTTGAGGTCGTAGACCGACCCTCGGGCGAATTAATTAAGCATGCAAATTCTCAATGTTTTCGAAAGCCTAAGCGAAGCTGGGCAGCATGCCTAGTAAAAAATAATACATTAACCAAGTTGACTTGCTGTGTCTCGAACCCGCACCACCTGCGTGGTTTAATGTACACTAACACCTCCGCTATTTAGGCACCTTATAAAAGGTCTAGATCTAGTGATGTATATAAATCGAGTACCGTTCTATTAGAAAATATTACGATTGCTATTACAAAATCAGGAATTGCGATGAGTGGGCAACAGTGATTCCTTCAGTGTTTTTCTCAGGTAGGGGGGGGGGAGGCACTTGAAATTTTCGGGGGAGGGCTAAGTGATACCCTAATGTGGAATGTCAAAGGATTAAGATGAAATAAACAACTAAATAATAGCACAGATGTATTTATCAGCACGCTTTACTATGCATGTACGTCAAAACAAAACACTTAATAAATTTAAAAAAAACGTTTTAATAGCAAGCTTTTTTGTAATAATGCACTAACAAGTAGAAAATAAATTATACATACTATTTAAATTACTATAAAGAAAAGCGTGGGTCTCTTCCTAAATATTAGTAAAGGTATCCAATAGATACTAAAGTGACCCACGCTTTTCTTTATAGTAATTTAAATAGTAGTGTATAATTTATTTTCTACTTTTTAGTGCATTATAACATAAAAGCTTGTTATTAAAACGTTTTTTTATGAATTTTTGTTCAGTACTTTACATGTTTTATTTACAATAGTTACATGACTAAAAAACTATTTTCAAGTTCATAGCTAAAGTTCCAGTAAAGTATTAATATTATGGGGTGGCGTAGTCTAATGGTAAAGAACTAGACTGCTGACCCGACTAAAAACCATCGCGCGCCTATTGAACTTGATGACGCGCTTTTGTCATAGAGCCCCCCTCCCCCCTCGCTCCACGCCCAACACGGCCGTGATGACGCGTGTGGATAGAACTACCGACTAATTCAGTCCAAATTTTAATTAATTCATAAAAAATGAATTAGGTGACCAATTAAGCAAATTGAATGTCATGATGCATTGTCTTCATGTCTTGACCCACGTACCAACTACGAACCGTTTATGTCAGTTAGAAGTGCCTGCAATTTCACACGGGCGTTTCGATCTAGACAGACAGACAGAACGACTAGGAAGTGAGTGTAATAAAAGCTTGTAAAAAGCAAACAGTGCTCGTGTCGTTTATTTATACAAACATATATTAGCAACTTTATGGCAAATAACTATTTAAAAAATCTTTATGTCATTTGTATCGGATTTAGTTCAAATATGGGGTAGTTCGATTTGTTAGGTTAAGTTTATGTATAGTTTCGTTTGATCAGGTTCGTCTACACTAGTAGAGTTTAAATGTGCTTAAGGTTGGTATTGTGTGCAATTTTTAGCTTTAGATCACTATTTGAACATATTTATCGAGATAATTTTTTTTTTATATGTGTTTTATGGCCACTTTACAAATGAAATTTTAAATAATTTTTATGTTTTAAAATCTGTTAAACTATCGACACAACTGTCGTTTATTTCCCACGTTTGCCCGTCCTTCTGTAGGGACATTGAGCGTATCCACGAGACGCTGGTAGCCCAGGACCTACGGCTTGAGAACCTCGAGAAGGTCATGCTACACAACGCTGAGGAGAGCCAGGCCGAGCCGCAGTCCGACTCCATCGACAACAAGTCCAGCATCGACAACATCAGGCACGTCCTAGAGGAGGGCTTCGTGCCACAGGCCAACGTCTCGGGCATTATAGAGATGGTAGGTGGGCTAACGTCTCGGGCATTATAGAGATGGTAGGTGGGCTAACGTCTCGGGCATTATAGAGATGGTAGGTGGGCTAACCATTATAGAGATGGTAGGTGGGCTAACGTCTCAGGCATTATAGAGATGGTAGGTGGGCTAACGTCTCGGGCATTATAGAGATGGTAGGTGGGCTAACGTCTCGGGCATTATAGAGATGGTAGGTGGGCTAACCATTATAGAGATGGTAGGTGGGCTAACGTCTCAGGCATTATAGAGATGGTAGGTGGGCTAACGTCTCAGGCATTATAGAGATGGTAGGTGGGCTAACGTCTCGGGCATTATAGAGATGGTAGGTGGGCTAACCATTATAGAGATGGTAGGTGGGCTAACGTCTCAGGCATTATAGAGATGGTAGGTGGGCTAACGTCTCGGGCATTATAGAGATGGTAGGTGGGCTAACCATTATAGAGATGGTAGGTGGGCTAACGTCTCAGGCATTATAGAGATGGTAGGTGGGCTAACCATTATAGAGATGGTAGGTGGGCTAACGTCTCAGGCATTATAGAGATGGTAGGTGGGCTAACCATTATAGAGATGGTAGGTGGGCTAACGTCTCAGGCATTATAGAGATGGTAGGTGGGCTAACCATTATAGAGATGGTAGGTGGGCTAACCATTATAGAGATGGTAGGTGGGCTAACGTCTCGGGCATTATAGAGATGGTAGGTGGGCTAACCATTATAGAGATGGTAGGTGGGCTAACGTCTTGGGCATTATAGAGATGGTAGGTGGGCTAACGTCTCGGGCATTATAGAGATGGTAGGTGGGATAAACATTATAGAGATGGTAGGTGGGCTAACGTCTCGGGCATTATAGAGATGGTAGGTGGGCTAACCATTATAGAGATGGTAGGTGGGCTAACGTCTCGGGCATTATAGAGATGGTAGGTGGGCTAACCATTATAGAGATGGTAGGTGGGCTAACCATTATAGAGATGGTAGGTGGGCCAACGTCTCGGGCATTATAGAGATGGTAGGTGGGCTAACCATTATAGAGATGGTAGGTGGGCTAACCATTATAGAGATGGTAGGTGGGCCAACGTCTCGGGCATTATAGAGATGGTAGGTGGGCTAACCATTGTAGAGATGGTAGGTGGGCTAACCATTATAGAGATGGTAGGTGGGCCAACGTCTCGGGCATTATAGAGATGGTAGGTGGGCTAACGTCTCGGGCATTATAGAGATGGTAGGTGGGCTAACCATTATAGAGATGGTAGGTGGGCTAACCATTATAGAGATGGTAGGTGGGCCAACGTCTCGGGCATTATAGAGATGGTAGGTGGGCTAACCATTATAGAGATGGTAGGTGGGCTAACGTCTCGGGCATTATAGAGATGGTAGGTGGGCTAACCATTATAGAGATGGTAGGTGGGCTAACCATTATAGAGATGGTAGGTGGGCCAACGTCTCGGGCATTATAGAGATGGTAGGTGGGCTAACCATTATAGAGATGGTAGGTGGACTAACGTCTCGGGCATTATAGAGATGGTAGGTGGGCTAACATTTCTAAAGATGGTAGGTGGGCTAACGTCTCGGGCATTATAGAGATGGTAGGTGGGCTAACCATTATAGAGATGGTAGGTGGGCTAACGTCTCGGGCATTATAGAGATGGTAGGTGGGCTAACATTTCTAGAAATGGTAGGTGGGCTAACCATTATAGAGATGGTAGGTGGGCTAACATTTCTAGAGATGGTAGGTGGGCTAACGTCTCGGGCATTATAGAGATGGTAGGTGGGCTAACGTCTCGGGCATTATAGAGATGGTAGGTGGGCTAACATTTCTAGAGATGGTAGGTGGGCTAACGTCTCGGGCATTATAGAGATGGTAGGTGGGCTAACCATTATAGAGATGGTAGGTGGGCTAACCATTATAGAGATGGTAGATGGGCCAACGTCTCGGGCATTATAGAGATGGTAGGTGGGCTAACCATTATAGAGATGGTAGGTGGGCTAACGTCTTGGGCATTATAGAGATGGTAGGTGGGCTAACGTCTCGGGCATTATAGAGATGGTAGGTGGGCTAACCATTATAGAGATGGTAGGTGGGCTAACGTCTCGGGCATTATAGAGATGGTAGGTGGGCTAACCATTATAGAGATGGTAGGTGGGCTAACGTCTCGGGCATTATAGAGATGGTAGGTGGGCTAACGTCTCGGGCATTATAGAGATGGTAGGTGGGCTAACGTCTCGGGCATTATAGAGATGGTAGGTGGGCTAACGTCTCGGGCATTATAGAGATGGTAGGTGGGCTAATGTCTCGGGCATTATAGAGATGGTAGGTGGGCTAACCATTATAGAGATGGTAGGTGGGCTAACCATTGTAGAGATGGTAGGTGGGCTAACGTCTCGGGAATTATAGAGATGGTAGGTGGGCTAACGTCTCGGGCATTATAGAGATGGTAGGTGGGCTAACGTCTCGGGCATTATAGAGATGGTAGGTGGGCTAACCATTATAGAGATGGTAGGTGGGCTAACGTCTCGGGCATTTTAGAGATGGTAGGTGGGCTAACGTCTCGGGCATTATAGAGATGGTAGGTGGGCTAACGTCTCGGGCATTATAGAGATGGTAGGTGGGCTAACCATTATAGAGATGGTAGGTGGGCTAACCATTATAGATGGTAGGTGGGCTAACGTCTCGGGCATTATAGAGATGGTAGGTGGGCTAACCATTATAGAGATGGTAGGTGGGCTAACGTCTCGGGCATTTTAGAGATGGTAGGTGGGCTAACCATTATAGAGATGGTAGGTGGTCTAACGTCTCGGGCATTATAGAGATGGTAGGTGGGCTAACGTCTCGGGCATTATAGAGATGGTAGGTGGGCTAACGTCTCGGGCATTATAGAGATGGTAGGTGGGCTAACCATTATAGAGATGGTAGGTGGGCTAACCATTATAGAGATGGTAGGTGGGCTAACGTCTCGGGCATTATAGAGATGGTAGGTGGGCTAACCATTATAGAGATGGTAGGTGGGCTAACGTCTCGGGCATTATAGAGATGGTAGGTGGGCTAACCATTATAGAGATGGTAGGTGGGCTAACGTCTCGGGCATTATAGAGATGGTAGGTGGGCTAACGTCTCGGGCATTATAGAGATGGTAGGTGGGCTAACCATTATAGAGATGGTAGGTGGGCTAACGTCTCGGGCATTATAGAGATGGTAGGTGGGCTAACCATTATAGAGATGGTAGGTGGGCTAACGTCTCGGGCATTATAGAGATGGTAGGTGGGCTAACCATTGTAGGGATGGTAGGTGGGCTAACCATTATAGAGATGGTAGGTGGGCTAACCATTGTAGAGATGGTAGGTGGGCTAACCATTATAGATATGGTAGGTGGGCTAACCATTATGGAGATGGTAGGTGGGCTAACCATTATAGAGATGGTTATACTGTGGGCTAAATGTAAATGTTAGATAATGTGGTGCTTTGTTGTAGGTGATTACATGACGTCAGTTTACTAAGGTCTGTATGGCACTTGATGCATCTTTAAAGTAGTATTTAGGGCCTACCTTTACTGTTAACAAGTTCTACTTATTGAAAATATCTGGGAAATGGCGTCAGTAATACATAACTGAAAACTTTGAACTTCTCTGACGTCATGACATGTGCACAAGAACCGACAAAGTAGTGTGGCCTAGAGCCGTACACGCTATCCAATAGCCTATTTTCTAACCATTGACTCCCACCCCCTTCCCCCTCTCTCCCACTAGCAACTACTGGAGCCTGGCTCTAGTGGGGATGGTGAGGTGGGGTCAAGCCGAGCCAGGGGAACAACAACCAGAAAACCCGTCGTCACCCCATGGAAGGTTCCAGAATACTACGATCTTTTTAGGCAGTTGACTTCTATGGAGCAAAAGGTAACCGATCTATTGAAAAATAAAAATAGTTTCCAGGTAAAAGCAGTTAATTAAATCTATATTCTGTTTTACGGAGCAAAAGAAAATTGATCTAAAGGAAAAAACAATCTTTTATTCTATGGGACAATAGGTAAGAAATGTGTAGAAAATTATTTAACAACAAAACGGGAAACTATAATTGATAATCCGTAGAACAAATGTCCCTTACTTGTATGGAACAAAAACAAGTTCCAACGACAAACTTGTATGGAACAAAAACAAGTCCCAACCTACAAACTTGTATGGAACAAATACAAGTCCCAACATACAAACTTGTATGGAACAAAAACAAGTTCCAACGACAAACTTGTATGGAACAAAAACAAATTCCAACCTACAAACTTGTATGGAACAAAAACAAGTTCCAACCTACAAACTTGTATGGAACAAGTCCCAACCTACAAACTTGTAAGAAACAAATACAAGTCCCAACCTACAAACTTGTATGGAACAAGTCCCAACCTACAAACTTGTAAGAAACAAAAACAAGTCCCAACCTACAAACTTGTATGGAACAAATACACGTCCCAACCTACAAACTTGTATGGAACAAATACACGTCCCAACCTACAAACTTGTATGGAACAAATACACGTCCCAACCTACAAACTTGTATGGAACAAATACACGTCCCAACCTACAAACTTGTATGGAACAAATACACGTCCCAACCTACAAACTTGTATGGAACAAGTCCCAACCTATGTGTCTTCAACACATGGTGTGTGGTGCGAAACGGCCGATATAAAACTGACCACCATAGCTTTCAGTCATGACAAACCCAATTAGATAGGTCTCATCATCAACAGTTTATATTTAATAAAAGTGTCATTTTATGTTTGCTAAATGTGTCAGTTTATGTTTGCTAAGGGTGTCAGTTTATTATTGCGAAAAATGTAATTAACGTTGTTATAGCTAACAGTGCCAGTTTATTTTGGACAACGTTTCGAAATTTCGACATTTGTTTAATCGTCACCTTGACATTTGATTCAAGTGTAGGCGAAATTTCTGGGATTTTCCGCTTGTGCAATACGGTACAACAGAACTTAGCCACCTTTTAAGTCGGTCATACGTCACAGACAAATTGGGCCCTTGTGCGGAATGTGTGGGAAGAGGTGTGTGGAGTGTGGGGATGAGTAAGGTGCTCACCTCCACGCACACACCTGAAACGTCACTTCTCATTGACTGCGTACCAAGGCACCGCTTCTGTGGCATCTCCTGGCTTAGTGAGTTAATGAAATCCTGGGGTGCCGGCTCGCTGACTGACGTAATGCTGCTGTCGTTATGGGTGTGTTAGAGAATGGTATAAGACAACAACTGACTGATATAACGTTAACGGTGTGGTAGAGAATGGTGTAAGACAACAGCTGACTGACGTAATGCTGCTGTCGTTATGGATGTGTTAGAGAATGGTGTAAGACAACAGCTGACTGACGTAATGCTGCTGTCGTTATGGATGTGTTAGAGAATGGTGTAAGACAACAGCTGACTGACGTAATGCTGCTGTCGTTATGGGTGTGTTAGAGAATGGTGTAAGACAACAACTGACTGATATAACGTTAACGGTGTGGTAGAGAATGGTGTAAGACAACAGCTGACTGACGTAATGCTGCTGTCGTTATGGGTGTGTTAGAGAATGGTATAAGACAACAACTGACTGATATAACGTTAACGGTGTGTTAGAGAATGGTGTAAGACAACAGCTGACTGACGTAATGCTGCTGTCGTTATGGATGTGTTAGAGAATGGTGTAAGACAACAACTGCCTGATATAACGTTAACGGTGTGTTAGAGAATGGTGTAAGACAACAGCTGACTGACGTAATGCTGCTGTCGTTATGGATGTGTTAGAGAATGGTGTAAGACAACAGCTGACTGACGTAATGCTGCTGTCGTTATGGATGTGTTAGAGAATGGTGTAAGACAACAGCTGACTGACGTAATGCTGCTGTCGTTATGGATGTGTTAGAGAATGGTGTAAGACAACAACTGACTGATATAACGTTAACGGTGTGTTAGAGAATGGTGTAAGACAACAGCTGACTGATATAACGTTAACAGTGTGTTAGAGAATGGTGTAAGACAACAGCTGACTGATATAACGATAACGGTGTGTTAGAGAATGGTGTAAGACAACAGCTGACTGATATAACGTTAACGGTGTGTTACAGAATGGTGTAAGACAACAGCTGACTGACGTAATGCTGCTGTCGTTATGGATGTGTTAGAGAATGGTGTAAGACAACAGCTGACTGACGTAATGCTGCTGTCGTTATGGATGTGTTAGAGAATGGTGTAAGACAACAGCTGACTGATATAACGTTAACAGTGTGTTAGAGAATGGTGTAAGACAACAGCTGACTGATATAACGTTAACGGTGTGTTAGAGAATGGTGTAAGATAACAGCTGACTGATTTAACGCTAACGGTGTGTTACAGAATGGTGTAAGACAACAGCTGACTGATATAAGGTTAACAGTGTGTTACAGAATGGTGTAAGACAACAGCTGACTGATTTAACGTTAACGGTGTGTTAGAGAATGGTGTAAGACAACAGCTGACTGATATAACGTTAACGGTGTGTTAGAGAATGGTGTAAGACAACAGCTGACTGATTTAACGCTAACGGTGTGTTACAGAATGGTGTAAGACAACAGCTGACTGATATAACGTTAACGGTGTGTTAGAGAATGGTGTTTTGCTTTTAAACCAATAAACAATGTGTTGGGATAAACCAACTAATGATTGTGTGCAGGATGATGTAAATATCTATTGTCTAAAATACACACGATCTGTTACATAAAGCACATGACCTTTTATGATCTGATGATCTGGATGGCAGATCAAACAGAGCTCATGTTATCAGAGCTCTGCCCTAAGCTCTGTACTTTTAGCTCCGTATAACAAGAACACATCCATCTACACGATTTATCCCTGGCCTGTGCTCATTGCCTCTGTTTATTATGTTAGTTCAGCTGTAGTCTACTCTCTGGACTCGAAGCTCTATAAACTTATCTTGTCTGTTTATCTATACACTTATAAGCATATAGTTAAACAGTCCTGATCTCTATGCCCTAAGTTTTGTGCCCTGAACTCTATGTCCTGAGCTCTATGCCCTAAGTTCTGTGCACTGATCTCTATGCTCTGAGCTTGATGCCCTATCCTCTGTGCCCTGACCACTGTGCCTTAATGTCTATGCCCTGACCTCTATGCCTTCACCTCTGTGCCCTATCCTCTGTGCCCTGAGCCAGAGGCGTAGCGATCCTTCCCGGCGCCCGGGGACATACTTTAAATTTGGCGCCCCCCTCGGGAGCAAATTTTCGATTTGCACCCCCCCTCGAACTTTTCATTTGCACCCCCCCCTCAAACTTTCGATTTGCACCCCCCCCCCTCGAACTTTTCATTTGCACCCCCCCCCCCTCAAACTTTCATTTTGGCGCCCCTCCTAAGGTCGGCGCCCGGGTACTTATGTCCCCCCCCGCCCCCCCCCCCCCCCTCGCTACGCCTCTGCCCTGAGCTCTGTGCCCTATCCTCTGTGCCCTATCCTCTGTGCCCTATCCTCTGTGCCCTATCCTCTGTGCCCTGATCTCAATGACCAACCATCTGACCATCCGCAGGTGATGGCGCTAGAGAACTACAACATCATGAGCGACTCGGAGTTGACCCGTGTTAGGTCAGAGGTCATCAAAATGGACGATAAGGTCAAACCAAACTCATCTCATTATTTAATTACCTAACTTAATTAATCACTTTATCCTACAGCCTGTTTACTCAACTTTAATGTACGCATCCTCTCGACGTATTTATCTATTTGATCAACCTACAAATCTAATTTGCTTACTGCACTAAATTCGTGGCCTTGAACTTGTTGTTTAATCCATACACATTTTAACTTGCCAATTTTCATTTAAAAATGTGGTCTTTAACTTTGAGCTCGCTGTATTAGCATGCATTCAATTTAAAATCTCAGCGTAATTAGATTATGTCTCACCCAGGGCCCAGGGGGTTATTTTAAATACAGCACACACACACACGTATGTGTGTATATGGACATTATAATTATACACATGCATTTTTATATATTGAAATATATGCTTATGTGTACATGTGTGAGTATGTGTGTGTGTGTGTGTGTGTGTGTGTTCGAGTAATGTTTTGAGATCAACACGAAGTTTAGATGACGCTGTATTCACGTATGTTATTCACTGTCTTGGTGTTGTGGCCTTAGTGAGCACTACTCTAATAATTCTAGTCAGCAAGAGTGAGTTTCAACACATTAGCTCGTCCTATGAGATCTCTATCGCACACTTCTTCTTCTTCTTCGTTCTTAGTTAAGTAGGACGGGATTTTTCCAACACATTAAGTTTTACGTGTTATCATGTTATGCTTGTATAGGTCGTTGATTCCGATTTCAACCTGCTTTTCTGTAACTTAACATACAAATTATTTTAGGAGTTCATGGGTGGGGAGGGAGAGGATCGAACCACCTCCTAACATTCTACATACACAACTGTCGCACGGGATATTTAGTAGCTCTTTAATTAGACTGAGCAACTAATTCTAATTAAATTTGATGACGTAACTAGGTGACGGAGCTAGACCGCAAAAGCCGGAACATCCAAATGCGCATGACTATGCAGGCGTTTAAAATCAACGAGTTAGAAGCCTTCAAGGGGAAAACAGATTTGTCGCTTCAAAATTCTCTAGACTCGTATGGTCGGATCAACTCTAGACTAGAGGCCTTCAAGGTACACTTTTTTTCTGATGCTACAGGATTGTATGCTGTCGTGTGCTGTCTGTTGTATTGTGCTGTCTGTTATATTGTGTTGTCTATTATTTTGTGTTGTGTATTATATTGTTTTGTCTGTTACATTATGTTGTCTGTTTGTATGCTACAGGATCGACTGGTTGAAATGAAGAACGACCTACGGGCTGTGGTCGCTCAGTACAAAAACCACGACCAGATCACCAACGAGCTGAGATCGGCGGACTCTTATAAGGCTCATGACATTCAGGTGAGTTCATGACATGATGACATTCAGGTGTGTTTATGTCACGATGACATTCAGGTGAGTTCATGACATGATTACATCCATGTGAGTTCATGACATAGCCTAATGACATTCTGGTTAGTTTATGTCACGATGACATTCAGGTGAGTTTATGTCATGATGACATTCAGGTGAGTTTATGTTATGGTGACATACAAAAGAGTTAATATTAATAGCTACTTTTTCCAAATCTACGATAACAACGCTAGAATATCTGATGTTTATTTCATTAGAATTTAATTTTGTCTTGAAACTTTAATTGTCATTAAAATGCTTTATAATGTAATGTTAACTAACACTATTACAATAGATCCGTAACTTTATATAATGTTATCTAACACTGTTACACCTGTCCCGTAACTTTATATAATGTTATCTAACACTGTTACACCTGTCCCGTAACTTAATGTTATCTAACACCGTTACACCTGTCCCGTAACTTAATGTTATCTAACACTGTTACACCTGTCCCGTAGCTTAATGTTATCTAACACTGTTACACCTGTCCCGTAACTAAATGTTATCTAACACTGTTACACCTGTCCCGTAACTAAATGTTATCTAACACTGTTACACCTGTCCCGTAACTTAATGTTATCTAACACCGTTACACCTGTCCCGTAACTTAATGTTATCTAACACTGTTACACCTGTCCCGTAACTTAATGTTATCTAACACTGTTACACCTGTCCCGTAACTAAATGTTATCTAACACTGTTACACCTGTCCCGTAACTAAATGTTATCTAACACTGTTACACCTGTCCCGTAACTTAATGTTATCTAACACTGTTACACCTGTCCCGTAACTCAATGTTATCTAACACTGTTACACCTGTCCCGTAACTTAATGTTATCTAACACTGTTACATCTGTCCCGTAACTTAATGTTATCTAACACTGTTACACCTGTCCCGTAACTTAATGTTATCTAACACTGTTACACCTGTCCCGTAACTAAATGTTATCTAACACTGTTACACCTGTCCCGTAACTCAATGTTATCTAAAACTGTTACACCTGTCCCGTAACTTAATGTTATCTAACACTGTTACACCTGTCCCGTAACTTAATGTTATCTAACACTGTTACACCTGTCCCGTAACTTTAATGTTATCTAACACTGTTACACCTGTCCCGTAACTTAATGTTATCTAACACTGTTACACCTGTCCCGTAACTAAATGTTATCTAACACTGTTACACCTGTCCCGTAACTTAATGTTATCTAACACTGTTACACCTGTCCCGTAACTTTAATGTTATCTAACACTGTTACACCTGTCCCGTAACTTAATGTTATCTAACACTGTTACACCTGTCCCGTAACTTAATGTTATCTAACACTGTTACACCTGTCCCGTAACTTAATGTTATCTAACACTGTTACACCTGTCCCGTAACTTAATGTTATCTAACACTGTTACACCTGTCCCGTAACTTAATGTTATCTAACACTGTTACACCTGTCCCGTTATTTAATGTTATCTAACACTGTTACACCTGTCCCGTAACTTTAATGTTATCTAACACTGTTACACCTGTCCCGTAACTTAATGTTATCTAACACTGTTACACCTGTCCCGTAACTTTAATGTTATCTAACACTGTTACACCTGTCCCGTAACTTAATGTTATCTAACACTGTTACACCTGTCCCGTAACTTAATGTTATCTAACACTGTTACACCTGTCCCGTAACTTAATGTTATCTAACACTGTTACACCTGTCCCGTAACTTAATGTTATCTAACACTGTTACACCTGTCCCGTAACTTAATGTTATCTAACACTGTTACACCTGTCCCGTTATTTAATGTTATCTAACACTGTTACACCTGTCCCGTAACTTTAATGTTATCTAACACTGTTACACCTGTCCCGTAACTTAATGTTATCTAACACTGTTACACCTGTCCACTTAATGTTATCGTGTTAATGTTATCTAGCCTAACACTGTTACACCTGTCCACTTAATGTTATCGTGTTAATGTTATCTAGCCTAACACTGTTACACCTGTCCCGTAACGTTAACCTGTTGTGACCTCCCCAGGAGATGAGGAAGACGGTGTTTGCCATAGAAGGTCGTCTTCAGGGCATCTACAGGGTGGTGGACCAAAACGTTGACATGGTCAGAGTTGACCTCAAGGCTTTTATGGAACGGATTTGTAAAAACAATAAGCTGGCGTGCTGATTCACACGTTGTCGGGCTCTTTTTACACATGTATATGTATATGTATATATATATATATATATATATATATATATATATATATATATATATATATATATATATGTATATGTATATATATATATATATATATATATATATATATATATATATATATATATATAATTGTCCTATATATGAAATTAACAATTATTTGCCCCAATACCTTGCTAATGCTATTATTGATTTCGGGCTAGCGTTATTTTTCAACAAAGGCTTCCCATCAGTTACTGACCTGATTATTTATTAATAGATCTGGACAAATCCCAAACTTCTGTTAGGCCCATGCTAAAAATGTTTAGTCGGGTAATGTAAACAAAGACAAGGATGTGACATTGGGCAACAAAGGAAATGTTTGAATATTCATGAATGATATATAAATGTGCTAAAACATTTCCAATACACACACACCCACACACACAAACATACACATGACATTGTCCTACACATGAAGATAAGGAAATAATGATGTTATTTGAGTGTATTGTATGCAGTGGCGTTGTCAGAAATTGATCCTGTGGGGGTCCAATATTGGCTCCACACTTCAATAGACTGTGACTTAACGGTAACAGCTTTTATTTCCATGGGGAGGCTCTAACCCCGCCCTCTCTGCCTACGCCACTGATTTTATGCAATGTATTTATTGTCAGCAGATATGTGTCATACACAAAATATAAGCTGTGTTTCTGAACAAGAACAGCTGAAGACATGAATTTATGAACGGTTCGGTCGGTCCCACCTTACAGCAAAAGTTGTGCATGTCTCATAGCGATATCTTTCTGGTATGGTTGTACTAGATCCTCGAGATCCACCACCAGCGTCTATACTCAATAAACCTTTGTAATCACGTGACACCGCTAGGTATTAACCTTTGAACTCTAAGGAAGGTTAATGTCACTGCTGTATAATGTTCGAAGACTTTAGCCTAAACTTTAGGCGATTTCAAATGTAAGGTGAAAAATAAAAATGCTGACATTGGAATAAATATAAGATCGTTTATTTGTGTCCACTGTGTCCTAAGCTGTTCCTTGTGTCTTGTGTGTCTAAACCAGTGTTTCTTCCATATTTTTTTCTCCGGGGGGGGGGGGGAGACGGACTGTTAAAAGTATATATTTTCTATATAAATTCCATTTCGCCCCCCCCCCCCTCCCTCCGAAGAGATGCCTGGAAGAAACTTTGGTCTAAACGATGTTAGTTGTGTCCACTGTGTCCTAAGCTTGTGTCTTGTGTGTCTAAACGATGTTAGTTGTGTCCAGTTATTTCCCGGAATTCTGCTTGTATTCCGGCCAACAAATCTAGATCTGACATAATTTCTAGAGCGGTCAGCGCCAGTGCCTTCCCCTGGTTCTGGGACAACAAGAAAGCAGAACGGGTTCCTGTAAGACAAACGGTCTGTCCGTCAGGATAAATGGTTTCAAACATTCTACATAAAGATATAAAAATAATAATAAAAATAATTTATTTAGTGGCATACCAAAGCAGCCATTTAAAAGAAAATCTAGACAATAGACAGGGGAGACAACCAAATAAATGATGTTATTTGTATGGTACGGATCTTGTTAGATGGTTGTGGGTGTTGTAAATATGATAAAAATTTATTTGTTTCTCTACATTTAACTTATAAACGAATTAATAAAAAATGAATAAAAAATTATAAATTAAACGTTTGTTTATATCAATCATACAATTTTGTAAGATTATCGCGATATTCGCATTGACCTATTTTTTAATATAGGTTATATCTAGATAACTGTTTCTATGACATGTGTCTCTATGTATTATGTTCCTATTATGCTAAATATATTCCTATGTATTCCTTTTGTGTCATCACAAATTATACCAAACTTGCGTCAACGATTGGTTTGTCATAAACTAACCGTTTGATATAAAATATATAGCATGATAAAATATAAGTCCAGCCAGCACAGAGAACGTCACGCTAGCACATCTAGAGGACGTCACGCTAGCACAAATGACGTCACGCTAGCACAGCTAGAGGACGTCACGCTAGCACAAATGACGTCACGCTAGCACAGCTAGAGGACGTCACGCTAGCACAAATGACGTCACGCTAGCACAGCTAGAGGACGTCAAGCTAGCACAGCTAGAGGACATCATGCTAGCACAGCTAGAGGACGTCACGCTTGCTGAGCTAGAGGACGTCACGCTAACACAGGTGACGTCACGCTAGCACAGCTAGAGAACGTCACGCTAGCACAGCTATAGGACGTCACGCTAGCATAGATGACGTCACGCTAGCACATCTAGAGGACGTTACGCTAACACATTTAGAGGACGTCACGCTAGCACAGCTATAGAACGTCACGCTAGCACAGAGGACGTCACGCTAACACAGTTAGAGGACGTCACGCTAGCACAGATGACGTCACGCTAGCACATCTAGAGGACGTCACGCTAGCACATCTAGAGGAAGTCAAGCTATCACAGCAATAGGACGTCACGCTAGCACATCTAGAGGACGTCACGCTAACACATCTAGAGGACGTCACGCTAGCACATCTAGAGGACGTCAAGCTATCACAGCAATAGGACGTCACGCTAGCACATCTAGAGGACGTCAAGCTATCACAGCAATAGGACGTCACGCTAGCACATCTAGAGGAAGTCAAGCTATCACAGCAATAGGACGTCACGCTAGCACATCTAGAGGACGTCACGCTAACACATCTAGGGGACGTCAAGCTAGCACAGTTAGAGGACGTCACGCTAGCACATCTAGAGGACGTCAAGCTAGCACATCGAGAGGACGTCAAGCTAGCACATCTAGAGGACGTCAAGCTAGCACATCTAGAGGACGTCACGCTAGCACATCTAGAGGACGTCAAGCTAGAACAGATAGAGGACGTCACGCTAGCACATCTAGAGGACGTCACGCTAACACATCTAGGGGACGTCAAGCTAGCACATCTAGAGGACGTCACGCTAACACATCTAGGGGACGTCAAGCTAGTACAGTTAGAGGACGTCACGCTAGCACATCTAGAGGACGTCACGCTAGCACAGCTAGAGGACGTCACGCTAGCACATCTAGAGGACGTCACGCTAGCACATCTAGAGGACGTCAAGCTATCACATCTAGAGGACGTCACGCTAGCACATCTAGAGGACGTCATGCTAGCACATCTAGAGGACGTCACGCTAGAACAGAAACGTCAAACAAACACAGCCAGAGAACCTAAAGGTAATCTTAGCGATCGGCTTAGTACCAACACAACATCCGAGGTCTCATAAACAAATAAATTCTTCTTCATCTGCGCTATGCAGCGTCAGTTTCGTAAGGGTAGACGTACATTTATTTGTTAGAACTACTAAATCAATACATAAATTCTAGCTGATTTCCAAGTGAAATTGTAAACGTTGTTATTAGCGCTTGGCCTGTCAAAATGTTAAACTGAATGAAATAAAATGTAAACAGAATGTCTGACCTGATTCCTTGGTAAAGTCTTTGCTGTGGTTGATGGCCGCCCCGATGTAGTACATAGGGTGGATGCTGGGACACACATAACTCACGTTTCCCATGTCTGTCGAACCTGCACGACTCTAAGAGTACACAAACACTGGGGCTAGCAGTGAGCACAATATTAGACACGACTCTAAGAGTACACAAACACTGGGGCTAGCAGTGAGCACAATATTAGACACGACTCTAAGAGTACACAAACACTGGGGCTAGCAGTGAGCACAATATTAGACACGACTCTAAGAGTACACAAACACTGGGGCTAGCAGTGAGCACAATATTAGACACGACTCTAAGAGTACACAAATACTGGGGCTAGCAGTGAGCACAATATTAGACACGACTCTAAGAGTACACAAACACTGGGGCTAGCAGTGAGCATAATATTAGACACGACTCTTAGAGTACACAAATACTGGGGCTAGCAGTGAGCACAATATTAGACACGACTCTGAGAGTACACAAACACTGGGGCTAGCAGTAAGCACAATATTAGACACGACTCTAAGAGTACACAAATACTGGGCAGTGAGCACAATATTAGACACGACTCTAAGAGTACACAAATACTGGGGCTAGTAGTGAGCACAATATTAGACACGACTCTAAGAGTACACAAATACTGGGGCTAGTAGTGAGCACAATATTAGACACGACTCTAAGAGTACACAAACACTGGGCAGTAAGCACAATATTAGACACGACTCTTAGAGTACACAAATACTGGGGCTAGCAGTAAGCACAATATTAGACACGACTCTTAGAGTACACAAATACTTGGGCTAGCAGTGAGCACAATATTAGACACGACTCTAAGAGTACACAAATACTGGGGCTAGCAGTAAGCACAATATTAGACACGACTCTTAGAGTACACAAATACTGGGCAGTGAGCACAATATTAGACACGACTCTTAGAGTCACAAACACTGGGCAGTGAGCACAATATTAGACACGACTCTTAGAGTACACAAATACTGGGGCTAGCAGTGAGCACAATATTAGACACGACTCTAAGAGTACACAAATACTGGGGCTAGCAGTGAGCACAATATTAGACACGACTCTTAGAGTCACAAACACTGGGCAGTGAGCACAATATTAGGCACGACTCTAAGAGTCACAAACACTGGGGCTAACTGTGAGCACAATATTAGACACGACTCTAAGAGTACACAAATACTGGGGCTAGCAGTGAGCACAATATTAGACACGACTCTTAGAGTACACAAATACTGGGGCTAGTAGCGAGCACAATATTAGACACGACTCTGAGAGTACACAAATACTGGGCAGTGAGCACAATAGTAGACACGACTCTAAGAGTACACAAATACTGGGCAGTGAGCACAATATTAGACACGACTCTAAGAGTACACAAATACTGGGGCTAGTAGTGAGCACAATATTAGACACGACTCTAAGAGTACACAAATACTGGGGTTAGCAGTGAGCACAATATTAGACACGACTCTAAGAGTACACAAATACTGGGGCTAGTAGTGAGCACAATATTAGACACGACTCTGAGAGTACACAAATACTGGGCAGTGAGCACAATATTAGACACGACTCTAAGAGTACACAAATACTGGGGCTAGTAGTGAGCACAATATTAGACACGACTCTAAGAGTACACAAATACTGGGGCTAGCAGTGAGCACAATATTAGACACGACTCTAAGAGTACACAAATACTGGGGCTAGTAGTGAGCACAATATTAGACACGACTCTAAGAGTACACAAATACTGGGGCTAGTAGTGAGCACAATATTAGACACGACTCTTAGAGTACACAAATACTGGGGCTAGCAGTGAGCACAATATTAGACACGACTCTAAGAGTACACAAATACTGGGGTTAGCAGTGAGCACAATATTAGACACGACTCTAAGAGTACACAAACACTGGGCAGTGAGCACAATATTAGACACGACTCTAAGAGTACACAAATACTGGGGCTAGTAGTGAGCACAATATTAGACACGACTCTAAGAGTACACAAATACTGGGCAGTGAGCACAATATTTGACACGACTCTGAGAGTACACAATCACTGGGGCTAGTAGTGAGCACAATATTAGACACGACTCTTAGAGTCACAAACACTGGGCAGTGAGCACAATATTAGACACGACTCTAAGAGTACACAAATACTGGGGCTAGCAGTGAGCACAATATTAGACACGACTCTAAGAGTACACAAATACTGGGGCTAGCAGTGAGCACAATATTAGACACGACTCTAAGAGTACACAAATACTGGGGCTAGCAGTGAGCACAATATTAGACACGACTCTGAGAGTACACAAACACTGGGGCTAGCAGTAAGCACAATATTAGACACGACTCTAAGAGTACACAAATACTGGGGCTAGCAGTGAGCACAATATTAGACACGACTCTAAGAGTACACAAATACTGGGGCTAGCAGTGAGCACAATATTAGACACGACTCTAAGAGTACACAAATACTGGGGCTAGCAGTGAGCACAATATTAGACACGACTCTTAGAGTCACAAACACTGGGCAGTGAGCACAATATTAGACACGACTCTAAGAGTACACAAATACTGGGGCTAGCAGTAAGCACAATATTAGACACGACTCTTAGAGTACACAAATACTGGGGCTAGCAGTGAGCACAATATTAGACACGACTCTAAGAGTACACAAATACTGGGGCTAGTAGTGAGCACAATATTAGACACGACTCTAAGAGTACACAAACACTGGGCTAGCAGTGAGCACAATATTAGACACGACTCTAAGAGTACACAAATACTGGGGCTAGTAGTGAGCACAATATTAGACACGACTCTGAGAGTACACAAATACTGGGGCTAGTGGTGAGCACAATATTAGACACGACTCTAAGAGTACACAAATACTGGGGCTAGCAGTGAGCACAATATTAGACACGACTCTAAGAGTACACAAACACTGGGGCTAGCAGTAAGCACAATATTAGACACGACTCTAAGAGTACACAAATACTGGGCAGTGAGCACAATAGTAGACACGACTCTAAGAGTACACAAATACTGGGCAGTGAGCACAATAGTAGACACGACTCTAAGAGTACACAAATACTGGGCAGTGAGCACAATATTAGACACGACTCTAAGAGTACACAAACACTGGGCTAGCAGTGAGCACAATATTAGACACGACTCTTAGAGTACACAAATACTGGGGCTAGCAGCGAGCACAATATTAGACACGACTCTAAGAGTACACAAATACTGGGCAGTGAGCACAATATTAGACACGACTCTTAGAGTACACAAATACTGGGGCTAGCAGTGAGCACAATATTAGACACGACTCTAAGAGTACACAAACACTGGGCTAGCAGTGAGCACAATATTAGACACGACTCTTAGAGTACACAAATACTGGGCTAACAGTGAGCACAATATTAGACACGACTCTAAGAGTACACAAATACTGGGGCTAGCAGTGAGCACAATATTAGACACGACTCTAAGAGTACACAAATACTGGGGCTAGTAGTGAGCACAATATTTGACACGACTCTGAGAGTACACAAATACTGGGGCTAGTAGTGAGCACAATATTAGACACGACTCTAAGAGTACACAAATACTGGGGCTAGCAGTGAGCACAATATTAGACACGACTCTGAGAGTACACAAACACTGGGGCTAGCAGTAAGCACAATATTAGACACGACTCTGAGAGTACACAAATACTGGGGCTAGTAGTAAGCACAATATTAGACACGACTCTAAGAGTACACAAATACTGGGCAGTGAGCACAATATTAGACACGACTCTTAGAGTACACAAATACTGGGGCTAGCAGTGAGCACAATATTAGACACGACTCTAAGAGTACACAAATACTGGGCAGTGAGCACAATATTAGACACGACTCTTAGAGTACACAAATACTGGGGCTAGCAGTGAGCACAATATTAGACACGACTCTTAGAGTACACAAATACTGGGGCTAGCAGTGAGCACAATATTAGACACGACTCTAAGAGTACACAAATACTGGGGCTAGTAGTGAGCACAATATTAGACACGACTCTAAGAGTACACAAACACTGGGGCTAGCAGTGAGCACAATATTAGACACGACTCTTAGAGTACACAAATACTGGGGCTAGCAGTGAGCACAATATTAGACACGACTCTAAGAGTACACAAATACTGGGGCTAGTAGTGAGCACAATATTAGACACGACTCTAAGAGTACACAAATACTGGGGCTAGCAGCGAGCACAATATTAGACACGACTCTAAGAGTACACAAATACTGGGCAGTGAGCACAATATTAGACACGACTCTAAGAGTACACAAATACTGGGGCTAGTAGTGAGCACAATATTAGACACGACTCTGAGAGTACACAAATACTGGGGCTAGCAGTTAGCACAATATTAAATGGAGCAGAAAATGTTGCCGTGTCTAACAGAACGTCGAAGAGTTACCTTGTCTAAAAGTGTGTCGAAGAGTTACCTTGTCTAAAAGTGTGTCGAAGAGTTACTTGTCTGAAAGTGTGTCGAAGAGTTACCTTGTCTAAATGTGTGTCGAAGAGTTGCCTTGTTTAAGAGAGTAAATGTATTACCTTGTCTAAAAGTGTGTCGAAGAGTTACCTTGTCTAAAAGTGTATCGAAGAGTTACCTTGTCTAAAAGAGTGTCGAAGAGTTACCTTGTCTAAAAGTGTGTCGAAGAGTTACCTTGTCTAAAAGTGTGTCGAAGAGTTACCTTGTCTGAGAGTGTATCGAAGAGTTACCTTGTCTGAAAGTGTGTCGAAGAGTTACCTTGTCTGAGAGTGTGTCGAAGAGTTACCTTGTCTAAAAGAGTGTATCGAAGAGTTACCTTGTCTAAAAGTGTGTCGAAGAGTTACCTTGTCTAAAAGTGTGTCGAAGAGTTACCTTGTCTGAGAGTGTATCGAAGAGTTACCTTGTCTGAAAGTGTGTCGAAGAGTTACCTTGTCTGAGAGTGTGTCGAAGAGTTACCTTGTCTGAGAGTGTATCGAAGAGTTACCTTGTCTGAGAGTGTGTCGAAGAGTTACCTTGTCAGAGAGTGTGTCGAAGAGTTACCTTGTCTGAGAGTGTATCGAAGAGTTACCTTGTCTAAAAGTGTGTCGAAGAGTTACCTTGTCTAAAAGAGTGTCGAAGAGTTACCTTGTCTGAGAGTGTGTCGAAGAGTTACCTTGTCTGAGAGTGTATCGAAGAGTTACCTTGTCTGAGAGTGTGTCGAAGAGTTACCTTGTCAGAGAGTGTGTCGAAGAGTTACCTTGTCAGAGAGTGCATCGAAGAGTTACCTTGTCTAAAAGTGTGTCGAAGAGTTACCTTGTCTAAAAGAGTGTCGAAGAGTTACCTTGTCTGAGAGTGTGTCGAAGAGTTACCTTGTCTGAGAGTGTATCGAAGAGTTACCTTGTCTAAAAGTGTGTCGAAGAGTTACCTTGTCTGAGAGTGTATCGAAGAGTTACCTTGTCTGAGAGTGTGTCGAAGAGTTACCTTGTCTGAGAGTGTATCGAAGAGTTACCTTGTCTAAAAGTGTGTCGAAGAGTTACCTTGTCTAAAAGAGTGTCGAAGAGTTACCTTGTCTGAGAGTGTATCGAAGAGTTACCTTGTCTGAGAGTGTGTCGAAGAGTTACCTTGTCTAAAAGTGTGTCGAAGAGTTACCTTGTCTGAGAGTGTGTCGAAGAGTTACCTTGTCTGAGAGTGTGTCGAAGAGTTACCTTGTCTAAAAGTGTGTCGAAGAGTTACCTTGTCTAAAAGTGTGTCGAAGAGTTACCTTGTCTGTGACGGGCCTCCTGTTAGGCTCCAGTGTGTTGATGTGTTTTTCGTAAACTTGAGCCAGCGCCCTGTTGTTGATCATGTCCGCATAAATTTTCTGACTGTCGTCAATCTCCACCTGTCAATAGTATAACCTTACAGCTAGATCATGTCCGCATAAATTTTCTGACTGTCGTCAATCTCAACCTGTCAATAGTATAACCTTACAGCTAGATCATGTCCGCATAAATTTTCTGACTGTCATCAATCTCAACCTGTCAATAGTATAACCTTACAGCTAGATCATGTCCGCATAAATTTTCTGACTGTCGTCAATCTCCACCTGTCAATAGTATAACCTTACAGCTAGATCATGTCCGCATAAATTTTCTGACTGTCGTCAATCTCAACCTGTCAATAGTATAACCTTACAGCTAGATCATGTCCGCATAAATTTTCTGACTGTCATCAATCTCAACCTGTCAATAGTATAACCTTACAGCTAGATCATGTCCGCATAAATTTTCTGACTGTCGTCAATCTCCACCTGTCAATAGTATAACCTTACAGCTAGATCATGTCCGCATAAATTTTCTGACTGTCGTCAATCTCAACCTGTCAATAGTATAACCTTACAGCTAGATCATGTCCGCATAAATTTTCTGACTGTCATCAATCTCAACCTGTCAATAGTATAACCTTACACCAACTCGTTCGTTGCCAACATTTGTTTACTTATTAAAATTACCGTAATTGCTTTTTACAAACAAAAAAAAAAAAAAAAAAAAAACAGCATATTTCACAGAGCATAAAAAACTTTCTTCAAAACTAAAATGTCACACAGCTTTCTTCTAACTTTTTTTACGATGGGACATAAGATAAATAAGTAGTATTGTGTACGGTAAAGACCATCTTGCTACACAACTGACCGTGCATCCAGTTGCTATGGCAGCACTTTCAAAACATTTGGTGACCTTCAGGGCAACGACATCCAGTTCACGTCTGTTCTCAGCCCTGATAAAATATTCCATTTCTGTCAAGTCAGGCACGATGTTGGCCTTGACTCCGCCTTTGGTGATGATACCTGCAACATTCGTCCCGACCCTCGTTAGTGTGTTTTCACATCCTATGTTCACCCCACCATGAGTCTAAACCAGGGATCTCCAAACTACGGCCCGCGGGCCGAATGCGGCCCGCGAAGATCTTTTTGTCCAAGGAAAAATCGTTTGTTGGTGATGGATGAGGAACTTTGCCCAGAAAAATCAAAGACATGCCTGGAAGAAACTGGCCCCCGAACTGAAATTTGATAGTTAATGCGGCCCTCGAACTGAAAAGTTTGGAGACCCCTGGTCTAAACACATAATCCAACATAAACCCACACATAATCTCCCCACGCTTGATCCCACCATAAACCCAATGAGCCTAAGACTGAACCCATCATGAATTAACCCACACTGAACCTTATGCACCCCACTGTGAACCCAACATGACCACACCCCTGAACCCCATTGTGAACCCACCATGACCACACTCATGAACCCCATTGTGAACCCACCATGACCACACCCCTGAACCCCACTGTGAACCCAACATAACCACACCCTGAACCCCACTGTGAACTCACCATGAACCCTAGTTGTGGGTTTCAGCTGCTGTCTTAACGCTGAGATGCTGTTGTAGGCTTGTACGGCAGCGTCCAAAGCGTTGACCCCCTCCCATGGCGCGGCAGAGGCGTGGCAAGCCTTACCGTGGTAGGTCACCGTGTACCTGTGAAAACAGGTCAGCTTTTATTGCTGTTTGGTTCAACTATGGCATGGCAGTTTTTTATTAAGAGGGTCAACAATAAATTGTATCATACATTGAAGAGGTCAACAATAAATTGTATCATACATTGAAGGTTCGACAATAAATTGTATCATACATTGAGGGTTCGACAATAAATTGTATCAAACATTAAAGAGGTCAACAATAAATTGTATCATACATTGAAGGTTCGACAATAAATTGTATCATACATTGAGGGTTCGACAATAAATTGTATCAAACATTAAAGAGGTCAACAATAAATTGTATCATACATTGAAGGTTCGACAATAAATTGTATCATACATTGAGGGTTCGACAATAAATTGTATCAAACATTAAAGAGGTCAACAATAAATTGTATCATACATTGAAGGTTCGACAATAAATTGTATCATACATTGAGGGTTCGACAATAAATTGTATCAAACATTAAAGAGGTCAACAATAAATTGTATCATACATTGAAGGTTCGACAATAAATTGTATCATACATTGAAGGTTCGACTATAAATTGTATCATACATTGAGGGTTCGACAATAAATTGTATCAAACATTAAAGAGGTCAACATTAAATTGTATCATACATTGAAGGTTCGACAATAAATTGTATCATACATTGAGGGTTCGACAATAAATTGTATCAAACATTAAAGAGGTCAACAATAAATTGTATCATACATTGAAGGTTCGACAATAAATTGTATCATACATTGAGGGTTCGACAATAAATTATATCAAACATTAAAGAGGTCAACAATAAATTGTATCATACATTGAAGGTTCGACAATAAATTGTATCATACATTGAAGGTTCGACAATAAATTGTATCATACATTGAAGGTTCGACAATAAATTGTATCATACATTGAAGGTTCGACAATAAATTGTATCATACATTGAAGGTTCGACAATAAATTGTATCATACATTGAAGAGGTCAACAATAAAACATTGAAGACTGTCAACAATAAATTGTATCAAACATTGAAGAGGGTCAACAATAAATTGTATCAAACATTGAAGAGGGTCTACAATAAATTATATCAAACATTGAAGACGGTCAACAATAAATTGTATCATACATTGAAGGTTCGACAATAAATTGTATCAAACATTGAAGAGGTCAACAATAAATTGTATCAAACATTGAAGAGGGTCGACAATAAATTGTATCAAACATTGAAGAGGTCAACAATAAATTCTATATATTGATATTAAAACTCACTGTCTGAGTGCCAGTACTTGAGGTAGAAAAATGTTCGCATAAGATGGATGACACATCATTGCCACATCTACGTCATCAAACGCTCCTGCCTCGATCAGCACGATCTTTCCTCCCCCACCCTCTTCTGCAGGGGTTCCCAGCACGGTCAACTGGCACAAACATATCGGGTTGTAATCAGTGGTGTTGGGGGGGGGGGAATCCATAGACCCCCAAAGTTAATGTTGTCTCATGTTAATTTACAACTAAATGTCGACAGTACGCTCTTGTCGTCTGATGTTTACAATTTCAAAATTTTAAAGTTCATAAATTAAAAAGGTAACAACTTTTCTCCCCCCCCCCCCCCCCCCCCATCACAAGGACAAATTCGTGTATTCATCACTTTTAATCAATGGCACACAAAAAAAAACGCGTTAAGATGAGACAGAAAATATCTGCATGTTACCCACTTTTGCCCACAGTTTAATTGTTTACAACTTACAAGGTACAGCAAATAGTTTCCTGAGGACATATGCAACTCACTTTTCCGATGGGACGTCCAAGTTTCTCCAGGGCGGCCTTGACCCCAAGAGCAGCTGCCACCCCGAGCTGTGCTATCAGGTTGTGACCACAGGCATGTCCGATCTCAGGCAGGGCGTCGTACTCACACAGGACAGCGATGTTAGGGGCATTGTCCACTTTATCTGTCCAAATGTTTATTTTAATTTTGGTTACGTCATACAGAGAGCACCAATGTTAGGGACCAAGTCCACGATTTTCCGGGGGAAAAAACGTTTATCTCCAGAAGTAACATGACCTTATTACAGTCGTTGCCCGTGTTTTGTGGATCAAGAGAAGAGAGCAGCAGAACAATTGTACCACAGTCGTGTTTACTGGGGTGACGTGGTCGGACTGGAGAGCGTTTTATTGCTAGACCAGAAGTTCCGAGTTTGGACCCGCAAGAAGAATAGGCAAGTTTGTTGGGGGCAGTAACCCATCTAGGGGAAAAAACTAAAAAAAAATCAAACAACTGCTGCCTTGCAAATTATTCTTGAGGGTACAAGGCTATGCAAAGAAAAGCAGGCTGGTCGACGTGACAGGCCATTTTGGTGCAGACCATGTTGACGCACAATACTTAATACCGTACGAGGAAAATCCCTCCAATATTACAGCTATGGACGAAGGAGAAAAAGTGTTGACTTGGCACGAGGGCTGCTACTGTCCTTAATCTGATCTACATAACCATACGTCCATTCTACTTGTCAAACAAAACCACTTAATACTGATACACGCGGGAAGGTAACGCGATCTCATCACAGGGTAAGCTAAGACTACTCTTGCACAAAATACTGCAATAAGTATCGGATATCAAATTTTATACTAACTAGGAAGAGATTATTTAAACAAGTGGTAGTTGTTACAGATGGCGCTCCATACACACCTTTTTTTTATTTTAACAGAAATCGGAATCTAGGTCTGCACTTTAAATGGTCACACGTTTATTAAACGTTTGAAAACATTTTGAATGTCTTGCGATATAGGACCTATTGACGAATTCCCGCATCCCAGTATTTAAGTGTGTCAGGCAAACAGAATTAAACCGTCACTCGTGAAGTTACCTGCACATTCTGGTGTATCAATAGCTGCTCGTGCTGTAGATCAGCACACATGTGTGTTAAATAAAACCAACTCACTCCCAGTAGCCTGACACCCCCAGTAGCCTGACACCCCCAGTAGCCTGACACCCCCAGTAGCCTGACACCCCCAGTAGCCTGACACCCCCAGTAGCCTGACACCCCCAGTAGCCTGACACCCCCAGTAGCCTGACACCCCCACTATAAAACCAACTCACCCCCAGTAGCCTGACACCCCCAGTAGCCTGACACCCCCAGTAGCCTGACACCCCCAGTAGCCTGACACCCCCAGTAGCCTGACACCCCCAGTAGCCTGACACCCCCAGTAGCCTGACACCCCCAGTAGCCTGACACCCCCACTATAAAACCAACTCACCCCCAGTAGCCTGACACCCCCAGTAGCCTGACACCCCCAGTAGCCTGACACCCCCAGTAGCCTGACACCCCCAGTAGCCTGACACCCCCAGTAGCCTGACACCCCCAGTAGCCTGACACCCCCAGTAGCATGACACCCCCAGTATAAAACCAACTCACCCCCAGTAGTCTGGCACTCCCAAGTTGCCTTGAAAGCAGTCTCCACGTTTTTGTAGCCTCTCTCCACGGAGAAACCCCGTTCTTCTAGAAAGTTTGTCAGTGCATCGTGGGCAATTTTCTCTTGAAACAAAAGTTCTGGATTCTTCCATATGGTTAGGTTTAACTGTTCTAAGGCATCAGCCTCCTGGTCAATGGCTAGACAGGCTGTAGCAAACAGTTGCTCCATCTCTCGTCTGCTGGTCCCACCACTGTGTCAACCGTTTATACAACGGGCAACATCTGCTGGGCCCGATGGTTCTCAAACGTTGGGCAGGTACAGCGCTGTTATGGGACTTGTCTGGATCTTTACAACGTTACAGAACTGTGTCGCGACACTTAGACCTAAAATTGACCTCTGACTGTGCCACCACGGCAGCAAACGTTGAGAACGTGCAGACGATAGTATTGTTACATTTTTCCACCTACCGTAAAAATTTGACATTAGTTCCAGTCGTGACTCTAAGATGTGGTGATGGATATCTGTGGTGGCGCCAAATTTGTTAATAGATGAACGTCAGGATGGAGATAAAGCACGTGCAATGCCCCCCCCCTCCCTCCCCAATGAAAAAACTTTTTAAAAATGATAGTCCGCCCTCCTCAAAAGGTTCAAGTAGGCCCGCCGTATGCGCGGAGAAAAATGTCTGCAGGAACCCTGATTGCCAGGTGTAGGCGGTGACATTTGTTCGGATCTTACCCTTACACCACGTTTACACTTGCTATATTTATAAAAACGTTGCCACAAGTTTTTACCCCCCCCCCCCCCGAACGAAATGAAATTTATATAATTTATTTAGAAAATTTATACTTTTAACAGTGTCCGCCCCCCCCCCCCTCCGAAGAAAGTCTACCGCCCCCCCCCCCCCCCGAAAATTTCAAGTGCCCCCCGGAGAAAAAAGTCTGGAAGAAACACTGGATGGTTATCTATCGGTTGTTATTACAGCTGGACGTTGCATTGTTTTCTTTATTGTTTGCATGTTTACGTCATGGTGTCACTACCACCCCCCCTTGTCCGGATCGTCATTATGCAGTATTTCTTCCAGACTTTTTTCTCCGGGGTGGGGGGGGGGCGGGTGACACTAAATATTTTCGAGGAGGGGGGTGTGGTCACTGATAAAAGTATATATATTCTATAAAAATTTAATTTCGTTCGGGGGCAGTATCCTTTGTTCGGGGAATATGATGTACTCAAATGCTTTTTTTTAAGTTCTAATTAACCATTCATTGAACTGGTAAATATTAGTAAATAACATATTGCAATTTTTGTTCTTAGTGTGACCCCCCCCCCCCCCCCGTATGGTGTCACCCGGTGCGGTGCATTTTCGGTTTTGCTAGCGATAAATAAATAGCAATGTGCGTGTATTACTAAATAGCACGTGTATTTTTAAATAACTTAATAAATTACTTAATAAAGTTATACTAGATTTAACAATATATTATTAATTACATTTACAAGATTTAGGGTATGCTCTTTAATTAATTATTTTTTTTCGGCGGAAACGCGTTGAATTCTGGGAATTTTTGGGAATTCCCAGGATTGAAACGAAACGACGAATTTTAGAAATATTTTTTCATTTTAATAAATAAAGGCAATGTTTTTAAAAATGTAATCGTATCGATACACATTTCTTAGTTTACGGTTGAAAGATTTTTTACTATTCTTATTTTTCATCTCATTTTTTTGCTGTTTACTTATAGAAATTGGTTTATACAGCCTATTATATTACTTCTAGACTCGATCCGTTGCAAGATCTGATTTTTTTAGTTTTACCAAGATACCAGTTAAAGTTTTACATTTGTTCTGGATTTATTTCCAGCCCAAACTGTATTTCCCGATAATATTCGTAGATATAAAACAGGAAGATGACTAAAACCTCTGGACGGTGTAATAGACCTGAGAATTTTGTTTGCAATCTTTGAGTTTTCATGATCAAAGAATAATTATAATCTTGTCGAGTCAAGACTTTTTTGTTTACACCTTCTGCATTTAGATTCAACTGCCACTTTTTTAATAAGTAAGAAACTCAGTTCTTAGAAAGCCTTGAATTTTGAATTAAATATTAGAGTAGAGGCAGAGGAACTAAGGCCTAAAAAATTGCAAAAAAATATTAAGGAATGTAAAAAATAAAAATAAATTCAACTTTTCTAAACTACGTAGAAACTAGATCTAGATCTAACTAGTAGTAACTACACTACTGCTAGATCTAGATACTAATCTAGTAACTAGATCTAGAGATATACTTATTATGAGAGAATGACAAATTGCTAAACTAAATGACTAGGCCTACTAAATAAACTAATTTTTTAATCAACATATTTTTAAAATTTGTAGGATATTAATTTAAATTTTATTAGGCCTATGCCCTATTTATTTTTAAGTAGGCCTAGGCCTATTATTTTAAAATTAGGTCTAGGCCCTTGACGCCCTTGTTTGTTAGTTGTTAGATCTAAGAATATGAACTAGATCTAGATCTAAATCCAATTTATGAATTTACTTGAGTAGGCCTAATTGTAGGCCCTATTCCTATTCTATTTATTTACGGATGATATTTCGAGTGCACCTTGAGAAAAAGAGTTTGATTATTTTGTTACATTGCTCATATTGACTCATATGTCAAGTTGCTCGCTCATATCTTCAATTTTCTTCATTCAAATTCATTGAAATGTCATTAATCCATTCAAGCCCCAAATTGCTGCCCCATTTGTTTTTGATAGGCCTACATGTTTTTAAATAAGAATATTATTAACAACAAAATAAAGCATAATTCAAAGAAAAAGCTTGTTTTATTAAGTGTATTTACCTTGAAAATCTGCTGAATTGAGCGATGCTGGTGGAGGTGTAGGCCCTTGGCAGGGTGGAAGAGATAAGCGGAAGAGCTTTATTTTGTTCACTTAGGTCGTAGGCCTACTGTTAATGCTAAGCTATTTCGGTCTCAATTTACTTACTTGCTATACTCTTAACTGTAGTAATCTTTACCTTTAATCTTAATTGAACTTCACGGAACAAATTAGAACCTTAATGTTTCTATATAATGTTTTGTTACTTTTGCTTAATTTTCATCTCTCCTTTTTTGGTGCAATTGCTTTTTTTGCCATGCTTTCCTATGGCAATTTAAATAAACCTGTCCAAAGAGGTTTGTTTCTTCCTCCCTTTCAGAAATGAGTTAGGTAAATGTCATTTAATAACTCCCATACACAATCAGTTTCTACGAACTGTTTAACCCACTAACCCATTTACTCGTATCTCAAATTAGACTCTTTTGTCAAAGCAAATTAACAGCTTTCATATCTAAAAAATATTGTATGTCAGAGCTCTCATATTTCGAGGTACTTATAATATAACTTATATAAATAGTCCCATATAAATCTAATCTTTTTTAAATGTACCAACTTGGGAACAGAACAAAGCTAAACACAACACAAAAACAATGCAAACGCAAAAAATACAACCGAAAGCACAAACTTAAAAGAAAAAGCAAACACAAACACCATGCAAATGCAAAAAAGATCTAATCTATAGTATTATAAATTTTGACTAAAGATCACATAACATGATATTTGCAACAAAAGAATTTTTTTTTAAAATAAAATAGAAAAAAAAGTGTTGTTGGCCCTTTATAATAGTTCTAGATCTATAATTGCACTTCATTAATAAAAATATTTTTTTTGGTGTTACAGATTTTGTTTGCAGAATGTGTTGTTTTATTTTCAATCAAAAGGCAAGTTATTATAGATCAATGATATATAATATTTTGAAACTGTAAGACTATCTTAACAAGTTCTAATTAGTTAATTTATGTTTTGTGATCATACCATAATTATAATTTTAATAATATTATTGTTTGTACATTTTTAAACATCTATAGATGATTAACTGTTTTTCAACAAATTAGGCTTTAATTAACTAATGATGATTTTATTAATAAAATATTACTTCAAGACATATTATAAAGAGTGGCACTTATTGCAGGGTTTAATATTATTTAACTGTTTATCAAAGTGAAAAAAGTATGTTTGATAACTTAGTGTTTCAATGAAAAATTTAAAATGTAGATAACATGAGTGGCATGCTGGGAAAGATAGGGAAGGTGGCAAATTCTTTAGTCAACTCTATGATGGCTGGAAGGGAGGCGCCAAGAAATCAGATAGAAGCCACTGGGGAGAACCAAGACGACCTTGAGCCTTTACCATCTATAGTCAAAGATTACAGGGCTGCTCTGGTCAACTCAATCTATCACGGCCAAAATACAGATGAGATTATAAAGAACCTCGTAGAATTAGCTTGTCCGGCATTTGATAACAAGTATGCAGCCCTCAGAGCAAGAGATCTACTTACTTCTAACAATCAGGTACAAGCCCATTTTTACACATGACAATATTTATATTTCATTTTTTAGGATAAATCATTACAGTAATAGGAGTATTTACAGTACCCTCTACACTCTTTTAGAAAGCTTTAACTACAAAATAATGTGCATTAATCTCAAGATTTTATTAACGCATGCATTTTAAATAATACGAGCCGACCCGCAGCGTATCATACGCCGCTATTTAGTTGTTTTATTTTCTACTTTTCAGTAATTCATAATTTGTAAATTCGACAGTACCAATGCTGCCACTGAAAATATTTGGTTTAAAACACTAACCCCCCCCCCCCCCCCCCCACTTTCCCCTAACCCCGACCCTACACCCCCCCTCCCCCCCCCCCCCCCGTGAAAGCTGCCTCCTCTTAGTTATTTCTTAGTTACCTCCTGTAAGTTTAAAATCGAACTAAATTATCTGCCCCTAATAGAAATCCGGCTCTACAATTTGTAAACATTTAGCTTTGTAAAAATTTAGAGTGAACACCGCTCACCAGACAATGTTGGGGTGGGGTGGGGGGTGGTAGTGATAGTGATAGAGAGAAAGAGAGGGGACTGCAAGGAGGCGCTTGCAGCTTGTTTTCTAACTGATCCCAGAAGAGAATTATATATATAGATTATATTTAAAGTGACATTTCTTTTTTTAAACATTTAGAGCATTCAGGAATTAAAGAACATTCTAAATGGAGCTGTATTCATTATAAAGTATGCCAAACATTTAATCAAAGACCCTGACAAACGCAGAGAACAGTGGCGAGTGATACCCTTCAATAATACTTACTATCAGAAAAAAATTAAACCTCTCAAGGTAGGCGTTAGTTTTCAATATTTATGTAGAATTTAGAACCCAACCTAAACTAAATGAGTTTACTACAGTTAGCAGTATATAAAGCAATAAAATTAAACAATTTGTTCCACAAAATTTAATAACCTTCCTAATAATTTTTTTTTAAACTTGGTAGGGCTGTGAGAAAATTCTGGAACAAATGGGATACACACAGAGGGTTGAAAATGGCCTGAGTTTCCCCCTGGGTCATGAACCAGACAGAACTCTTGTGGTCAGTATCATCGCTGACCTGATGATACTCAAGCAAGAAATCAGGGAATATATACTTGATAAGCATCCACACCCACATCTCATTAAAGAGATGTTGCCTCAGCAGACTCAGTAAGTTTCTAATGGGAAAATTTCAACTCAGTCAACAGTCAGTTGCTCTTCGTCAAATATTGATAAATATGTAATTATTTCTTTAAAATGTCATATTTCAGGGATGAATTGTTAGCTTTCCAAATCTCTGAGCTCAAGTTTGAAGATGATGAAACATCAGAAAATACAGCTCAAATGTCAATTATTGATTTTGAGTCGATGGCACCTGCCAGACCAAGTGCTGTGCAGGTAGGTCAACTAAATGCTTAAATATTTACTGTCAATATAGGACAGGTAGGTCAACTTAATGCTTAAATATTTACTGTCAATATAGGACAGGTAGGTCAACTTAATGCTTAAATATTTACTGTCAATATAGTACAGGTAGGTCAACTAAATACTTAAATATTTACTGTCAATATAGGACAGGTAGGTCAACTTAATGCTTACATATTTACCATCAGACATTTAGTGTCAGTCATAGGACATGTAGAGCTGCTTAATGCTTAAATGCTTACAAATCATCAGCCATTCAGGCAAAGTATATTTTCAAGTGCTCTGCTTTTGCAGATATATAACTGATTCATTAGGACAGAAAATCCTAATGAAATATAGAGCAGCTGTAACAATGTGTACAGTCTCCATATTGTGAGCTACATGTGCTGCATCTTATAAATTAATATCTACCACATTTAACTTGTGACTTTCTAGTTTTTGGCTTCTGTTGACTGGGATGACTTGTGACTTAGTTTTGGCTTGTGTTGACTGAGATGACTTGTGACTTACTAGTTTTGGCTTCTGTTGACTGTGATAAACTTCTCAGCAACAGGAACATAACAACAACATAGAGCAGCTCAAGCTGCTAGAGAATGGTGTGGCAGCACCTGAACAAGAGAAAGAAACCAGTCAACTAAATGATGCTAATGTGGAGCCTCCTGCTGTGGTAAGACCAACTTTTAACTCATTAAAAATACTTAGGAGGTATAATAAGAGAAACAAAATCTGCTGGTGGTAATAGCTCATTACATTTTAGCAAGTGGCTATAAAAATTTGAGAAAAAGATACAAATGACAATTTAAAAGCATTTCAAATGACTAAAAGTAAAAGGTTTGTAAAATGTTTCTAAAGGTTTGTAAAATATTTCTAAAGGTTTGTAAAATGTTTCTAATGTCAAAATATTTTGTACAGCAGGAGGTAATTTCTGAAGGCATACAAGATCTTGTTTTGGTGGGTGAACAATCTGATGCTGTTCCAGTTTTGTCTTGTGGAGATGGCAGACACTCTTCTTCCAGCAGTAAAAGATTTTGTAAGTCAGATACTGTAATACTCCTAGGAACTAGATCATTATCTTTGGCATTCAAATTTTTCCAATGGCATTGAGTTAGCTGGGACCCCAATATTTCTGCTGGCTGGAACCAGACATGTCTTTGTACACTTCCTTCTGTAGATAACCTTCACTGTAAAAGAAACTTCAAATCAAAGCTGAAAAGTTGTAAGAAAATTAATATTTTAAAAATGGGTTATTTATTTGCAAAAGCAGAGCACTTGAAAATATACTTTAATATACATTAATATTTACATATAACAACCTGAAATTTTAACAACAATAAATACGCCCATTCTGTAGGGAATTCATACAATAGCTACACTTACAAGCAGTGTTCTCTCTAAGCTGTGCGGCCACGCAGTAGTTCTGAACCCGCCGCGCAGTTCTTTTGTAAAATACATTAATATTGTTTTAGAACATGGCGCATACAAAATACATGTTGCACACTAGCCTTTTCTCTTTAGAGCAAATATTGCATACAAGGTTGTATTATTACATGTTTTAATAACTCTACAAAATATTTTTAAAATCATTATTCCCCCAGAAGTTTCTGTATGCTGATGCAATAAATAAAACTAAATAAGGTTAATGTACCCAATAAATGTAACTTGAAATTGATACTGTAAACAATCTATTCTTCAGTGTGTGATGTGTGTGGAGAAGAAGCTGCAGTGTTTTGTCTACAGTGTAAAAACAAACCTTTGTGTGACAAATGCAATTCCAACTGGCACAAACACCCCCAAAGGCAGAACCACAGGACAGAGTCCATCAGTTCTCTGGCCAGTCTGGCATCAGACTCCAGCCTACATGTTGTTTATGATGGCAAATATGGCGTCTCCTCAGAGGCTAATGTGTACAGAGCTAAGTGAGTGGTCAAGTATTGTTATCCTCCCAACTAGATAGATTAGTGAGTGGTCAAATACTAATCCAAGTTTTGTTATCCTCCCAACTAGACCATTAGTGAGTGGTCAAATACTAATCCAAGTTTTGTTATCCTCCCAACTAGGCCATTAGTGAGTGGTCAAATACTAATCCAAGTATTGTATCCTCCCAACTAGATAGATTAGGGAGTGGTCAAATACTAATCCAAGTATTGTTATCCTCCCAACTAAGCCATTAGTGAGTGGTCAAATACTCATCCAAGTATTGTATTCCTGTCTGTTACACGAATAAAAAAATATTTCCCATTGATTGTTTAAAGACTGAGCAAAACCCAGCAAACCTACCCTGTGAGTCAGCACCAGCAGATTAGACAAACACACCCTGAAACACAAGCTGCCAATCTGCCTGACCTGGAAAGTCTGGGCTTGATGGGTCAAGAGTTTGGACCTGCTAATCAAAGGTAAAAAGAAAATTATTAAAATTAAGTCCATTAACATTCTCTTTTTAAAGTTGCGCATCGATGAACTAAGCTTGAAAAATCATGGTCGACCTCGGAAAATTTTTTTTTTTTTTTTTCTATTACTTTAACCACTTATAAACATAATATACTTATCAAATTTACAATAAAATATAGTTTTTACACTTGTTTTTGCATTTGAAGTGGGTGTGTGTGTGTAAAAAAATGTATTTCACCCCGATATACGCCCATCACAATGATGTGTAGCGAGATCTACACACCGCAGTAAGCCTAGCTTACCATATATCAAAATGCGCGGAATTTCGAGGTCAGTCTAGTTAGCCTAGGAACATTGACCTAGTTCTAAATATAGTATTTCAAAACACGCAATGAAAGTGCGCTTCAAAATGGGAAGAGTCATGTATCTATTGGTCAATAGATGTCACATGACGCTTCTGTCTAAAAATACCGTGCGCCAAGCTCAATTTTTCTAACTTTTGTCAGGAAGTGTTGGCTGTATCCTAGGAGATGCTATTTTTAGCCGAGCTGTAGTTTACATTTGCAACAACTTTCACTTTCCACTTTTTTAATTATTTTTCGTTTCTGGAATTTATTTTGAAGGTAAATTATGAATTTTTCAATTATTTCTATTCCTTTATCAAAGTATAAACTATAGTTTTATCTTAGATGCCAGATTTTACGTAGATTTTGATGTAGATCTAGTAACTTTATTACGTAAACTAGATCTTAGTCTTAGGCTCTTAGCCTAGCTATCAAAGACTGAATGTAATCAATGTATGCAGATAATGTGCATACCTTTTAGTACGTTGTGATTATTTTTTTAAAACAGCTTATACATTATTATGACTTGTTTTACAGATCTACAATGCCTGCACAAAAGTTGTATGCAAAAAAAGGGAAAGGCTTCCAGAAAGCAGAAGGCTACATTGAAGTACATTGGCTAAGGCTTGTGCTACCAAGCAGCAAAAAATCAGCTCTTGCAGGATCTACTGCAGATCCAGAGGCTGCTGGTTCAAGCACAACTACTGCTGCCACTACACCCACTGCTGCCACTTCACCCACTGCTGCCACTGCATCATCTGCTGCCACTGCATCATCTGCTGCCACTGCATCCACTGCTGCCACTTCACCCACTGCTGCCACTTCACCCACTGCTGCCACTGCATCAACTGCTGCCACTGCATAAACTGCTGCCACCTCACCCACTGCTGCCACTACACCCACTGCTGCCACTGCATCAACTGCTGCCACTGCATAAACTGCTGCCACTACATCAACTGCTGCCACCTCACCCACTGCTGCCACTACTCCTACTACTGGATATACAACCATCCCCACAGTGGTCAGTGCCTCCAAGAGAAAACTTACAGACATGCCTACCCCTGTCAGCCAAAAGTAGGAACAGTTATGCCCAAAAAGAGGAATTTGAAGCCAAAAAGAGGAACACACGCACAGACGCAACTTTACTAAGTCAAAAATAAAAATAATTAATTAAAAATTACTCTAATGACATTAGTAGGCTTCTAGTCCTATATAACTAGTCTCTAGGATACATTTAAATACTGCTTAACGTCAGCTTACATTTTTAAAAATAAATTAACCAGTAACCCCCCCCCCCCCCCCCCCCCAAATAAAAAACATAGCTTTGGCATAACATTTTTGATTTGATTATTTATGTCTTGCTATGTTCTAGGCTATATGATTCATATAGCAGTGGTTCCCAATTGTCAAGAATCCTTGGCAGACATCTCTTAATACTTAAGCACCTTGTGCTCACATGTTTTAAAATTTTATTTTCACTGACCTCATGCAAAATTTGCATGTCTTTGAAAGCAGCTTGCCGCTTGCTACTTTTGTCAAGAAAGTAATACACATCAATTAGCAGCTGATCTACACTAAATGGAAGACATGAAGCCCCCTTTGCAGCTGCTTTATGAATAAGATGACACACACAGCCTGACATAAATAACTTGGGATTCTTTTTTAACAAGATGCCATATACCCCCTTATCTTTTCCAGTCATTACTTGAGCATTATCAGCTCCTAGAGAAATGCAGTTTGTCCAAGGTATTTTATGAACAGTAAATTCAGCATCCAGTAGCTGAACTATATTCTCTCCTGTAGCTGAACCTTCGCAAACTGGGACAGACAGCAATTCTGAAGTTACAAGTTGTGAATCTTGATCAACAGTCCTGACTACAATACGAAATAATTTACAGCTCCCAAAATCGTTGCTACCATCTGTAGAAATGGTGAAAGGACTCGATTTCATCCTTAAAGCTAAAGACATTGTAGATTTTGCAGCTATTTCTTTAACTATGGCTGTCCCTTTCGATCTCCCACACTGAAATTGTTTAGCAACTTTATCTTCTTTGAACATTAGTTTAAAGCTTTAGAAAATGTATCTAATGAAGCAAGAGGCAAATTCATTTCAGTAACTAGATCAACTAGCATAACTTCAGCTTTTATAACATCATTGATTGATTTTTTAGGCTTAGTCGAAGTAAAAAACAATTTTAACTTTTTTTTTATTCTTTGACTAGCTTAGCTAGCTCCACGTGTTTTGCACTTGCATTGTGCTTGGTAATGTCGTACTTTCCTCCATATTTTATTTTAAACTCACAATTCCAAATCTCACAATGAGCATTTGTTTCGCAATTCTTTCCTTTTTTGATAAAAGGAAATTCTTCCGAATATTCCGTTCTGAAGCACTGAACACGTTTTTTTTGAGGTTGAAGGGGATTCCCCGATCTCAGATACTGAACGTTTCGGCATTTTTCAACAAGGAAACGGAAGTAAACAGGGAACGCCGTTCACTTCCGTTTCCTAGTTTTCTGGGGGGATATTCGCATTTTTGCTAATAATTTTCTTTTTCCTTTTTTTAAATAACTTTTTTGATTATTTTCGAAAAGAATTCGGAACAAAACGAGTCCAAGTCAGAACGACGGAACAAATTACTTTTGAGGGTAAAAAAGCGGAACGGTTCCGCTTTTGGTGGGACGGTAGGCATGTCTGAACTTAGCATGTTTTCTCAATGTGAAGCACCTCAAGCTACTACAGTTGGAGGGCTGGTCATTGTAGACCTGGCTGAAGTAAACGCCCTCTTTTCGGCAGCTCAGTGCAGTACATGTCAAGGGCCCTTGCAACTTATTTTGACTGGACGCAAGGGTCTAGCACATCAACTGCAAGTCAGCTGCAGTGTGCAACTCCATAGCAGCAGGATCAAGCTCCAATATGAGTAGCAGCGACAGGTGTTATGATATCAACAAGAAATTTGTCGCTGCTTTCCTCAACATAGGATTAGGCTATGCTGCTGTGGATAAGTTTTTGCAATGCCATGGCCATTGAAGGAATGACAGAGTCATCATACCGCAATATCCTGAACAAAATATCAATTTCTTCAAAACATTTCTCCAACGCCAGTCTTGACACAGCTATTGACCTGGTGCGCAAATCTTATGGCGTTGAGATCAGTCAGTGAGTTTAATGGTGGCAGTAAACATCTGGCTGCTTTTATGGATGCCATCGGCTGTTCCTATGCCACTTCTTCTCAAGTCAAAGCAGCAAGGCATGACAAGAGGAGGATTGACAGTGCTGAACGAAAGGCGTTAGTGGAAGTCAAAAGGAGAAGGTCCAGAATGATCTCGCAAGCTCAAAAGCCCAACAGGAGTTTGAGAAGCTGGAGGGAGGGCATTCATACAGTTCTGGAGCCTTCTAAATTGTTATTTGTTTTAAGCTAAGTTAGTTTTATTAGTGTAAAAACTTTTTTTTTTTAATTTAAATTTTATATTTCCATCAATATATGTAGTCTTTTTCAAACCCTTTTTACAAAATCAGTTTTTACTTAATTTACTACTAATGATGAAATTATCATCATAAACATGTTGATAAAGCTTAATAGCTCTTTACATTGTATTTTCAATGAAAAAAGCTTTTTTTTCCATTTTTGTTACGTTTTTAGCGTTTTCTCAATAACGTATTTTTTTTACATTTTTGAACACTCAAAAACATTTTCCTCAAAAACTACTTGTTCAATTTACATGAAATTTCTGCTGTAGCTACCAAACACACTTTTGAAAAAACAAGCAGAAGAATAATTGAGCTATCTTCATTACTTTTTTTTATACATAATTTTTTGCAAACCATATAGGTTAAAATTAATTAGTCATTAGTAGAAAATTCATAATTTAAAAAGTTTCTGCAAATATGTAAATTTTCTTCTATGGATTTAGTCACATGCATGTGGACTATCTAAATCCAAAAGTTGGACTTGAAATTATAGATAGTTACTGAGGAAAAGTTTTTTAAAAATTGTATGTAAAAAATGTACATTTTTCCCGCCAAATTTAATCGGCTAACGATTACCATGAAAATTTTTTTACACCAAAGTGTATTAAACATATATACTAATGCCATAAATGAGTTATTTTCTGTAAAATAGTTAAATTGTGCAAAAAATGGTATTTCAATAAATTTCATGACTGTCCCCCCTTAATATTAATACACTATATTTTTTAACACGTCCATTTAATTAGCTCTAACATAAAATGTTATTCTTTAGCTTTATCACAATGCTGTTGCTCTTCTTCAGTTCTAAATTTTTAGCTCTCCCATCAATGTTGCTGTTTATTCTTACCATCAATGTTGCTGAATATTCCTACCATCAATGTTGTTGTTTAGCTCTCCAATCAATGTTGCTGTTTATTCCTACCATCAATGTTGTTGTTTAGCTCTACCATCAATGTTGCTGTTTAGCTCTACCATTAATGTTGCTGTTTATACCTACCATTAATGTTGCTGTTTATACCTACCATCAATGTTGTTGTTTATACCTACCATCAATGTTGTTGTTTAGCTCTACCATCAATGTTGCTGTTTATACCTACCATCAATGTTGCTGTTTATTCCTACCATCAATGTTGCTGTTTATACCTACCATCAATGTTGTTGTTTATACCTACCATCAATGTTGTTGTTTAGCTCTACCATCAATGTTGCTGTTTATACCTACCATCAATGTTGCTGTTTATTCCTACCATCAATGTTGCTGTTTATACCTACCATCAATGTTGTTGTTTATACCTACCATCAATGTGCTGTTTATACCTACCATCAATGTTGTTGTTTATACCTACCATCAATGTTGCTGTTTATACCTACCATCAATGTTGTTGTTTAGCTCTACCATCAATGTTGTTGTTTATACCTACCATCAATGTTGCTGTTTATACCTACCATCAATGTTGTTGTTTAGCTCTACCATCAATGTTGTTGTTTATACCTACCATCAATGTTGTTGTTTATACCTACCATCAATGTTGCTGTTTATACCTACCATCAATGTTGTTGTTTAGCTCTACCATCAATGTTGCTGTTTATACCTACCATCAATGTTGCTGTTTATACCTACCATCAATGTTGCTGTTTATACCTACCATCAGTGTTGTTGTTTATACCTACCATCAGTGTTTCTGTTTATACCTACCATCAATGTTGTTTAAACTACCATCAATGTTGCTGTTTATAACTTCCATCAATGTTGCTGTTTATACCTACCATCAATGTGCTGTTTATACCTACCATCAATGTTGCTGTTTATACCTACCATCAATGTGCTGTTTATACCTACCATCAATGATAATTTTCAGAGCCCAGCTGTCCCAGCATCAACTATCCCAGCAAGAGCTGGACTACCAACAGCTGGACTATCAGCGCTTTCAGACCATGCAGTATGCCCACAGGGTGCCCTACCAAGGTCCAAGAATAATAAATGCTGGTGCTTCACCACAACTTTACCCAAGTACCATGTATGCCCAAGGCCATCAGGATGCCAGAATTCTGGATAGCAGAATCTGCTACCCACCAAACACCCCAACAGGCCAGCAAGATGCCAGAATTCTGGATAGCAGAATCTGCTACCCACCAAACACCCCAACAGGCCAGCAAGATGCCAGAATTCTGGATAGCAGAATCTGCTACCCACCAAACACCCCAACAGGCCAGCAAGATGCCAGAACTCTGGATAGCAGGATCTGCTACCCACCAAACACACCTAGAGACTTATCCATGTGGCAACGCCAACCCATCCCTCATCATTTGCTCACCAATGAGAACATGCCTGCATACATCACTCAACAAATAGCAGACCATCAGAGGAAGAGCCAGCTACCACCCAACCATTACAACACCCTCCTCCAGTCTCCTGCAGGGGGTGACCTAGCTCCCTCCTACAGCCCAGCTGTTCTCCAGTACCCAACAACCATGCATTCTTACCTCCCTGATCACCAGAGAACCTACAGCTCACAGCTGAACCATCTAAACACTGAGCTTACCAAATCACCAATGCACATATCACAGAGCAACCCCAGCTTCAACTCCCAGCACTACACCATGTACGCCACCAATCTCAACTCTAATGCTGTACCCAACATGCACCCCTCTTATCATGACCCAACTAACTATAGAATGCGCCCCTCAGTTTCCTCCTCCTCTGTGTCCTCCTCCTCGCTACATTCGACCTCTGATCACACCACCAGGATGCATCGTCTACTGCAAGTGCCAGACATACAGAAACGAATTTCTAAGTGTGAAAACTACATTGAAGACCTGGGTGATGACATCAGTGATCTAGATAAGAAAATCAATGCTTTAATGTTAGAGCAGGATGATTTCTGTAGGTCAGAAGAATTCATAGAGCTGCATAAGAGAAAACAGATGTGTATGAAAGAAAAGATGGCGTTTGAGAATTACAGGAAAGAACTGGACGAGGAGACAACTCTGGTGAAAAGTTCCAGCTTCCCCCAGGAGATGAGAACTCAGGAGATTTTGTTTCCACCAGACATTGACAAGTCTCTGTACATGAAGAAAAAGCCAGGCCATAACAGTTCCCAGCTAACCATGTCACATGACAACACCCAGTTTGCTCCTGGCTCAGCCACCTCACCTCTACATGCAGCTGGAGAGCCAGCCCAGGTATGTTTCATCATACAAGACTCAGGGTCACTGAGGCAACATCTCTAACTTTTTCTATTTGTTTTTTTTTTTAAACAAACTTATTTGTAAATTTTTACTTTTTTTTTTAAATCCGAGAAGATGAAAGCAACAGAAGAAAGAGCTGTCAATCAGTCAGCTGTCTGTCAGTCAGCTGTCTGTCAGTCCAGAATACCAGTTGAAGACAGCAGTACCGAGCTGGAAGAAAAGGTAAACATCAGCTGTTGAGAGAGTTAATCTAGTGTGCAACTCACTCTGGCATTTGTTACACCATATCCAGCACCAACACTACACCATGAACCACCTGCCCATGCTAAAAGTTTGTGTTCTGTCTTCAGCTGGCTCTCATCCACCTGCCCATGCTAAAAGTTTGTGTTCTGTCTTCAGCTGGCTCTCATCCACCTGCCCATGCTAAAAGTTTGTGTTCTGTCTTCAGCTGGCTCTCATCCACCTGCCCATGCTAAAAGTTTGTGTTCTGTCTTCAGTTGGCTCTCATCCACCTGCCCCCACCTGACCTGCCACCTAGAGCCAGGAATGAGACTGTCCTAACTAAGATCCTACCTGCTCCAGACAGGCTGACAAACATGACAACAATTAAGTAAGTCACATCTACTTTAATGGGATGGCTTGGTTGAGTGGGAGAGCAATTCAATGATAACTCCACAACAATTAAGTAAGTCACATCTACTTTAATTATTCAATGATAACTTCACAACAATTAAGTAAGTCACATCTACTTTAATTATTCAATGATAACTTCACAACAATTAAGTAAGTCACATCTACTTTAATTATTCAATGATAACCTCACAACAATTAAGTAAGTCACATCTACTTTAATTATTCAATGATAACCTCACAACAATTAAGTAAACTCAGTCCTAACGCCCACAACAATTAAGTAAACCCAGACCTAACGCCCACAACAATTAAGTAAGTCACATCTACTTTAATTATTCAATGATAACCTCACAACAATTAAGTAAGTCACATCTACTTTAATTATTCAATGATAACCTCACAACAATTAAGTAAACCCAGACCTAACGCCCACAACAATTAAGTAAGTCACATCTACTTTAATTATTCAATGATAACTTCACAACAATTAAGTAAACTCAGTCCTAACGCCCACAACAATTAAGTAAACCCAGACCTAACGCCCACAACAATTAAGTAAACCCAGACCTAACGCCCACAACAATTAAGTAAACACAGACCTAACGCCCATAGAATTTTACAGTCAGCTCTGGAAGGTATTAGACTTGAGTTGGGCAAAGTGGTTAACTAGGCATAGTGCTGACCATAATCCCTATTCTTTGAAGGTCAAAGTACCAGGTGAATTCTACTTTATGTGATCTATGTGCCATCAGGTTAAAAGGGAAAGCTGGATCATTTCTTTTAATAATAATATCAGCCTTGACTCTACAATAATGTTTACAATAAAAAAAAATGTTGTATGAGATTGTGTATCACCAGTTGTATGAGATTGTGTATCACCAGTTGCATGAGATTGTGTATCACCAGTTGTATGAGATTGTGTATCACCAGTTGCATGAGATTGTGTATCACCAGTTGTATGAGATCATGTATCACCAGTTGTATGAGATTGTGTATCACCAGTTGTATGAGATTGTGTATCACCAGTTGCATGAGATTGTGTATCACCAGGTGTATGAGATTGTGTATCACCAGTTGTATGAGTTTGTGTATCACCAGTTGTATGAGTTTGTGTATCACCAGTTGTATGAGTTGACCATGAGTTGCCTGTACCATATGATGACTGTGTTCACAGACAGTGGCAGTGTGAGCACTGCACTTTCCTCAATGAAGCCAGCTCTCATGCCTGTAGCATGTGCTTCAAGACTTCAGTCAACCCTACACTGGTCAGCATATCTGACCCTGAGGACAACGGGGAGGAGACGCTGGTGACTGATGAGTCCAGGGAGCCCTCATTTGGTGATGAGGCGTACATGCGTCTGCTGATGGAGGATGATAAAACAAAAGAGAAGCTCACTAATTATACTGACCCTGATCAAACCCATGTAGTGGGCAAGAGGATTATGGGTAGCCAGGAACAGGTTAGCATTGTTGAAACTGTTTGTCTTTTCTTTGTTAACACTGTGTGGTTCAAGTAAGTTGTCTCACATTTCTTTGTATCCATCAACAAGTTTTGTTAATGAATTGAGCTCTGTTTGCAGTCTAGAGCCATTAGACATTTGAGCCATTTCTATTTGATTGTTTCAGATAAAATATCTGATATCATGTCATACCATGTGTCATACATTTGTTTCAGGTGATGAAGGAAAAGAAGAAAGCGCAACAAGAATATCTAGAAAAAAATTCATCAGCTGTAAGTAAAAATACTTATAGCATCTCTCTGTTTCTGTAAGCTCTAGAGTTAACTGATTTAGAACTTGGCTTAGCCTTTGCTATAATAAATATAGTTAATTTGTTGTCACTACCAAGTGATACAAACAATATTTAGTCACCACCAAATGTCAGTCATCTCAACCCTGACAAATGTCTTGACATTCTCCAGGTAAAACAAGCACCTGCCAGCCAAGTCAGGGCTAAAAGCCTCTCACCTACTCCTGCCAAGTCTCCTTATGGGATAGGGGCCAGGCTTCTAGAATCTAGCCTTAAAGACAGCATAGGGGCTAAGCTGAAAGGATCAATTCCCAAAGATGGTTTAGATGCTATGTCTAGAGAATCAAGTCCCAAAGAGTCCAGCCCAAAACCAGAGATGTACACCAGTGAACTGGGCAGCTCGTCTGAGTTTCACACGCCCCCATCTGAGTCCTCACCCTCCCCGTCTCATGTTGAGACCACATCTGCTCAGTCAGCTGTTGGCAAGGTGAAAGAGAGTGAAAGTTCTGGCAGAAGTAGTTTGGAGGACACCTTGGCTCGCTACAATGAACAGAAACTGATGGACACCCTGCAGAATGAAGGAGCAGAGTTTGCCAAGCTCATTAAGGTCTGTAGTAGAACTTTTGTTCAGAAAAAAAAATGACTATTTTTATAACTTCAATATGTAATTCATTCTAGAAAACATGTATCCAGAAAAATGTGCAAATGGAAAACCACAAAATGAAAATACTGCCCAAGCAGAAAAATGTGCAAGAAATGAGGTGTACTAATATACTCTAATTATGTCATATTTCCTGGGAAACTTATTATCATTCTTTTTTAATGTTTATAAATGCTCGATTTAAGAAAACAAAGGCCAGTGTGCACTTTTTTTTTGTGCGCAGTTTTTCGTTGCACATCTTTCCCGTCGCCTTCAAACCTTATTGTAATATTTACTGTTTTATTTCCACCAACCCCAGATGGCAGACCAGGCAGGCTACCAGGTGGAAGCTGTACAAATTGCCTCAGTCTTGTGTCAAAGACAAAAAATGTCCCCTCTAGAGTGGCTGGAGAAAAACTGGAAGAAAAATGTGGAGCGGGTGATTGCGTTTGCCTCAGAGATTGGCAAAAAACAGGAGTGTAACAGTGTGGGGGAGCTGACGGAGGCTGAGGCAGAAGCTGCTTATATCAAATGTCAAGGCAACATGAAGGAAGCTGCGCAGTTGTGTGCTGAGACTAGGACTAAACTGGTCAGTTCTTCTGTCTTTAGTTGTTTGATCTTCAGCCCTTAGTTGTTTGATCTTCAGTCCTTAAGCTATATGAATTATGCTTTTACATCTTTTCAGGTATTTTTTCTATTACTGTTCTAACAGAGAACTTTGGTCTGAGTATCATTTATGTCTTAATATTTTTTATTATGCTTTTTCTACCAATTCGTGTAATTTAAAATATTAATACCTGACCATGTCATGTCATTTCAAATGTTCCAGTATGAATACCTGAGCATGTCATTTCAAATGTTCCAGTATGAATACCTGAATGAATGTGGGAACTTCCCTAGAGAGGAGATCCTCCACTCCATGTACATCTGTGCTGGTCACCAAGAGAACGCTGAGGTCCACCTACAGACTGGCAACCTGCAGCACTATGTCAACCACATCTGGGCTGAGAAGGAAATGTCCACCTCTGCCAACCCATTTGTCTTCACAGACTTCAGCAACCCTGAGGTGTGTCACAGCTACTCCACCAGTGTCATCACACATGGGGACTTTCAGAAGATGATCAAAGACAGGAGCATCCCAGTAGAGGTCAGCTTCATGCACCTCTAGTCATGTCTGTACTGCACATGTACCTGGCATAATTAGTTGCATAGTTTTTGTTGTAATCAGTAGTGTAGGCAGGATTTTGTTATGGCAAGGGGGATTTTTTTTTAAATGTACATATATACAGATATGTATCTGTGTGTGTATTCAAGAATGAAAATAAAAAAATGTAAAATTTAAGTTTTATAACATTCACAATTTTGAAACTGACAGCCTTGAAAACATAAGCAAACGCCAATAGCTGTAATTTAATGTAAGACAAATGTTATTATAAGGTTTAAAGGTAGGGGTTCTTTACCCTCCTCTCCCCCCCCCCCCAACCACTACCGCCTCCCTCCAGGTGTTTTCTAACACCACTTGTGGTAATCCCACTTTTGTCATACATATACATCAGGAAAAAAAGTTGTGTTGAGGGCTCATTTTATTGATAAGTGTTTAGGATTCTCTGTAATAAATACAATAATTTAAAATATGAGTAGACAAAACAAGTATTTACAAGTGCTGAACAAACTCTACAGAGAAGAATTAGGCTGATACTTGTGGAGGGAGCTCTGAAAAGTTGGGGGCGTGCTGACTTGGTCATTAAAATTTTGGACAGTGAACTAGAAAATGAAAACATTGCTTTGGAGGATGTAGTAGAAGCAGTAAGAAATTGCCAAGACAAGACAAGTGCTCTGGCCTACCTCCAGCAGCAATGTGAAATTTGTCTGACTAATTTCCCCATGAGCAAGGTATACCAAGGTTTTTTTTTTGTGCAGTCCTTTAGTTGGACTTAGTTCATATTCTTTTATGTACAGATATAACCTTTTTAGAGAACAGGTTGAGCAATGTCTTTTTTCAGATACGAAACTTGAACTTCTGCCAGTGTAAGATGTGTGCTGAGTGTCTGTATGGTAATTTTGAGATAGCCATTAGAGAAAAACATGTTCACCACTGGACGTGCCCACTTTGTTCACTGCCAGACCTGAATGATACTGATGTTGCTTCGGATTATCTGCAGTTTCTAACATTGCTTGTAAGTCTGGGAGATTTGGCTTAGGATTTGACATAAGGTTCAGAATACTAGAGATCTCATCACACCTTTAGCCTCCTTCAGACATATCATCAATATGTCAAACTCGTTGCTCTTTATATTATTTCAGTCATGTCATCATTATATCAAACACATTGCTCTGTATATTTTCTCAGTAATGCATTCAATTTATCCAAAAACAGGAACATATTGCTCTGTATATTTTCTCACTCATGAATTAGACCTAATCATTGACCATTGTATTGCAGCTTAGACCTTTTATAGACCCTGAGCTGTTGAACTTATTTGAGACCAAGGTCAGAGATTGGCACTTACAGAAAGATCCTAACTTCAGGTGGTGTGCACATGTAAGTTGGGTTTGGCCTGTTGTTGTTGTTGTTTCAAATTATCTTACGTGGTCAGTTATATATGATCAAAACAATCAGGAATTTCTAATTTAAAAAAAAAAAATGTTAATAGTTAAGCTAGAAAAGTAACAAATATTTTACAACTTGAACCCGTATTGAATGCTGGGCTGTAGCCAGATTTAGTTGTAAACAACCTGATAGTGTTTGCAATGTGTCAACAGTGTGCTGAAGGTTTTCTGGCAGACAACCAGAATGGCCAACTAAGAATGACTTGTCCTATGTGTAATGCCAAGACATGCTTTAGCTGTAAAAGGGAGGTAAGTAATAAAAGATTAATTATCTGTTTAGCAGTGTGATAAAAGAGGGGGGGGGGATTGGAGTATCACTTTCTCAAATGGTATGATGCAGTATCATGAAAACATGAATTTTGTGCTTTAATTCATTGTAACCCATTCCTTTTTTAACAGTAGCAATTTTTTTCTAGTATAACAGCAATAACTGTGGCATAATAAACAGCTTATATTTTAATATAGGTTTTAACATACAGCATCGTTCAATTAAACACAGAATATGTAGATCTACTTAAGTTAACAAACAAAGGCTGTAGGTCATGTGAACTGTACTGCTGTAGGTCATGTAAACTGTTGTTGATCATGTGAACTGCTGTAGGTCATGTGAACTGCTGTAGGTCATGTGAACTGCTGTAGGTCATGTGAACTGCTGTAGGTCATGTGAACTGCTGTAGGTCATGTGAGCTGCTGTAGGTCATGTGAACTGTACTGCTGTAGGTCATATGAAGTGCTGTAGGTCATGTGAAGTGCTGTAGGTCTTGTGAAGTGCTGTAGGTCATGTGACCTGATGTAGGTCATGTGACCTGCTGTAGGTCATGTGAACTATTGTAGGTCATGTGAACTGTAGGTCATGTGAACTGCTGTAGGTCATGTGACCTGCTGAGGTCATGTGGACTGCTGTAGGTCATGTGAACTGCTGTAGGTCATGTGGACTGCTGTAGGTCATGTGTACTGCTGTAGGTCATGCGACCTGCTGCAGGTCATGTGAACTGCTGCAGGTCATGTGAACTGCTTTAGGTCATGTGAACTGCTGTAGGTCATGTGAACTGTTGGTCATGTGAACTGCTGTTGGTCATGTGACCTGCTGTAGGTCATGTGTAATGCTATAGTTCAATGTATATTTCTAGTGGGAAGACCAGCATGAAGGCCTGACCTGTGAACAGTTTGCCCAGTGGAAAATTGACAATGACCCCAATAACCAGTCCGTTGGTTTAGCCAAACATCTGGATGAAAATGGAATAGGTCTGTAGTTAATTAATGATCAGTGGTGTCACATTAGTTAACTTTGACCTAGGTAATAAAGGGGAGTTAACCATTCATTGTGACCAAAAAAAGGGTAAGGTAGCCCATACACAATGCATTAGCACAGACTACCCATATTGTTCTTTTGTTAAGAGATGTATATTCTCAATCAATACTTGAATAGCTTAGGAGAGACCAAAAAAAAACTAATAGCAATGACTTATCTTCATCCAGACTGTCCTACATGTAAGATGAGATTTGCACTGGCCAAAGGAGGGTGCATGCATTTTAAGTGTCCCAACTGTGGTCATGAATTTTGTAGTGGATGCAATGAACCATACCATCAGAAAAATGTAAGTCATTTTATATAATGTGAGGTAAAAAATGCTAGATAAATTGTATAAGGTGATTCATTTTAATGTGGACATTTTTTAAAGTTTGTCCATACAGTTTCAAAAGTCTGAATAGATATTACCGACAAATCTTTGCATTGAAGATGTATAAAGTATGAAGTTTTTTTGTTGCAGTTTTGTCACAAGTATAAAGGTTGTAAGAAGCTGGGTCTTCACTGCCACTGTCCCCGTGATTGTTTTTCTTATTTAAGAGACTACAGTGTTCAGAAGTTGCAGACCTTGTTAAAAGTAAATTTATTTTTCATTCTAAATTATCATGTTCTTTATATCACTGCAGTAAAAAAACCACAAGACTTAAAATGCAAGTTCTTATAGAATAAAATTATCTATAAACAAGTTCACTTTTTTTCTAATAGCAAAACAAAGTGCTGTTCAATGTTAAAATACCAGAGGATCAACTAGATGCAAACCATTGCCCTGTCATGGAACAGAAAGAGTTTGATTTGATGAGGAAAGATGAAAAATGTGGAAAAGAAACTGTAGAAGGACAAGCTGGTCTTTGCGAGTAAGTTGTTGCCGTATTTATACAAGTTTCAAACTTATGTGTCAGTGGGGATCCAATGGGTGCCTGAACCAAGTCAGGAAACAGCAGCATGTCCAGCTACTGACCACCCAATGCCACATTTTACTGACAGCTATTTTCCAAGGGTTATTTATAATAGGGTGTCGCCTAAAATTTTAAACTTCATTATTGTTCAAGATGACTTAAACAATTAAAAACTACATTTATTTACTTTTAATTTGATACCAATTTTATTTATCAAATTCAATCGGTAGCCTAGAAAATGGTTTGTGAAAATGTTTTTTTAAAACATTAATGACATTAGTTTAGTAGAAAGCAAGTTATAATTTTATATATACAGCAATTCACATTTTGCTTACTTTTATTATGTTCTGCTCAATATTCTCAGAGATTAGACCAAAAAATGTGCAAATGGCAAGTTAGCATCAAACACTGATCATCCATTGTTAAAACTAGACCGGTATCATTAAATAATACGCAAAAATGATTTTAAATATACATTTCTGAAATGACCATGAAACATAGTTTTAAAAAAAGGAATCACGTTCGTAATTTTTGGCAGCCATCATTGCCATGACGACAGATTAAAAAAAAAAAGGTCAAGCGACAGGCTAATTTATAGATGTATCAGTACCATAAGCCAGGAATGTGGTCATCCAAATTGAAATTTTACTCTGAACTTATTTCTATACCGCTTACTTCAAGATCTTTGCTAATGCTGAAATTATTTTTAAATTGTAGCATTTAACCTCCAGAAAGAAATCAAAGTTTTTACTGTTTGTGAATCCAAGTTGACTTTTAAATGTTTTGGTATTTTGATCAACCTTTAGGCTGCACTACAAGGAGTACCTTGTGGACATTATCAACAGGCACAGACTAGACCCTCTGTTGCTTATGAGCAAAGATGAAATGCTCACCCTGATGAAGAGACATGATTTGCCGGTTCCAGCAGCCTTGGCTACTGAAGCACAGGAAACATATATTGCTAGCCTATCTAAGGTAAGCTATTGACAAGTTCCACAAAAGTAAAGCCATAATTTATTACTTATAGTTACACGAAGTAGATCTATATTAATAATATTCATACAACTTTTGACAGATAATAAAGGAGAAGCTGCCTCTCAGAAGATGATAGTTTTCCTGTGAAGTAGTTACTGTTTTCATTATTTTATGTACTTTGTTGATGGATTTATATTTTGTGATTACCTGATTAAGTTTAAATAAATTTGAAAGTGGTTCAAAGCATAAAATTTTATGTTTGCTGTAAAGATTTTACAAAAATGATAGATACATTTGTTATGCTTTGATACCACTAAAACTGTGACATCTTTGATACCACTAAAACTGTGACATCTTAAATTGTGTATAATTTATTGGTGGTACCTATTCAAATTGTGCCTTTTATCTATGTCATAATATTTATTTACTTGCTACATCACTAAATTTGATTACGTCCCTAAATTTGATTACGGTTGATTTTTCAAGTTGCATCCTACTTTTTAGTTACTCGCCAACTTTTTTTTAAAAATGTGGCTTATTGATCTAACTATGGGTGGAGCACTTTGTTTACTTTACAAATTTAATGATCTTGTAGTTGTGTAATAATCTAGTATTTGCAACCTTGTGAAATATTGTTTGAATAAAATAGCTAATCCACCTAGCAACTCTTCTGAATTCCTTTAGTAAATTAAGAGTGAGGAGGAATGATAAGATCCATACAAAGTATCAACAAAAACATCCAGTCAGTTGCAGAGTTTAATTTATTATGCCTCAAAAGTGGTATTCAGTTTGCAATTACTTCCCAAAGCTTCACATGAACATTAAGCCAGAAAAAGTTACATGAAACACATTTCATAAAGATTTAACTTTCTTCCGAACTTTCTTTTTTTGTTTACAACTATTTTCTTACCCAGAAGGAAAGTTTAAAATTTTTTTTTAAATGGTGGTATAGGATTCTTTTACAATGAGCATTAAGAAAAAGGTTTCAATTATGCAAAGATGTGATCTGAAAAAAAGTGCATCATGAAAGCAAAGTATATACAAACACTGAACATACTGGAGGGAGAATAAAAAGTGCTCATTTGTTGATTTTCATGGAATATCTATCCATTTATAGCATTTACATATTGAGTTTGTATATAATAAACAAAAATACATTTACTAACTACAAATTTAAAAATACCCATCTAAACTAAATGGGAAACCAAATAAAATAAGGATATTGCTAAAAACAAAAGGTATGAGGGAATGATAATTTTTTAGATAAACTTGTAAACAAAGCATCACTATTATTTTGGCACCAATGACTTGAATACAATTTTGATTACCAAACTATTAGTACAAAATAATTTGCATCCAATATTATATTCCATTTTAATAACTGTTCCAAAATATATATATATATATATATACATTTCTTTTTAATTTCTTGAATAAAGGCTGTAAGGCATCAACCTTCATTGGTTGGTCAATACATTTTCAAACTAGTGCTAAAAAAATTTATTTCATTAAAACTGTTGATTAAAATAATTCTATTGATTTGTTTTTAAAAAATTCAATAGTAAAGTGAGCAAAATGTGTTTGGGAGCAAAAAACAAAATTCACACTAAACAATAAGTAGGCCTACATTCAACATGAAGATATAGTTTTTAAAGTTTATGTGTAACCAATTAAGTTATAAAAAAATGTTTTAATAAAACACTGGTTACAATTACAATATCATTGCACAACCCCATTTCTGATTAGGATTGATTTATAGGCTGTTTCTAATTGGTTTAAAAAAAACATATATTACAATTCAAAATATTTCATTTAGGTCTGAGATAAGATTTAGCAAAACTTTAGGAATTATGGCACAATTCTGTAAAAAAAAAATGAACATGCAACGTATAGAAATAAAAGTTTTATTTTTAAAAATTGTTTTTTTCTTACTTTACAAAGTTCAAAATAATATAATTTATTTTAGTACCAAGAATAATTTTGTATAGTTAGCCAAGTAATGTCAGCTTTTTGGGTAATTCGCTAAAAGTTTTAAAAATGTAACCAATAAAATAAACCACTAAGGCGACTTAATTTTCTTAACCAGATAGTAAGCTGCTAGGAGAACTAACCCAGCACCCAGAGCTAGGGCCACATAGGTACCTGAAGCTTTAATGTCCTCATACAACAGTGTGTATCTTAGTTTAGATACTTCATCTAGGAGTTGACTGATGGATGGACGCGCTGATAACAGGGTGTAATGTCTGTGTGTTAGTGGAAATCTTGACGAGGGCACACAATGTGGCAACAAACCCAAAAGCTGCAGTCGAGTGATTAGCACATACAATCCTATGTCTGCAATGGTCAGTGAATCTCCAAATAGATACATATTTTCTTGCTTTGATGTCTCTGAAATTTAAATCATGTAAGGTGATAAGTTCTGGGTAAAATGTCAATCAAGGCATGCTAGAGAAAGAAACCACCTTAACTATGCAATAACAAAACAAATGACAACTGACCTTCCTGGTCAAGGCTGTATCTTTGTCTCAACTCTCCTTCTACGTTTGATAAAAAATTGCGCAACTGTTCAATGTGATTTCTTACTTTATCTTCATCTGTGATTAAATCATATTTCTCAGCTGCTGTTTGACTTTTAGCAAGATAGCAATCTCGTAAGTCAGGGTAGATGGTAGACAGTGTGATCAGATACCTCAACCTTTTAGCAAAGTTTTCTGTAACCAAGTCAGATCAGATCATTGTTAAGTCAAATGAAGAAGGAATCATTTTGTAATCTTACTGTGTATCCTGACTAAAGTGACTTGAACAGTTGAAAAGGAAATAATGGATGTTGTAAAGGCAAAATTATCAGAGGTTTAGGACAGAGAGGGAATAGATATCAGAGGTGTAGTCTAATCCCTAAGGACAGAGAGGGAATAGATAAGATTATCAGCGATGTAGTCTAATCCCTAAGGATAGAGAGGGAATAGATAAGATTATCAGAGGTGTAGTCTAATCCCTAAGGATAGAGAGGGAATAGATAAGATTATCAGCGATGTAGTCTAATCCCTAAGGATAGAGAGGGAATAGATAAGATTATCAGCGGTGTAGTCTAATCCCTAAGGATAGAGAGGGAATAGATAAGAAGCAGATACTGACCTCTCATGCTTCTCTGTATGGCAACAGGCAGCTGACAACCTCCTTCAGACAACTGAGGATGGAAAATGATGCCATATGAAATAACATCCACTGGAATCTTTTCTAAGCTTTCCTGAAACTTGGCCACTTGTTGACCCACCAGCGAAGCTTTCTCTGGGACTAAAGCTGGACCAGATGTAGCTTGAAAAGAATAAAATAAAGCCATGCCAACATATGTAATACAAACATCAAGAATTCTTCATTCAAATAAACTTACAAAAAGGTTATATCGATTAATTAATCTGGATCATTGATATCACAGGCAAGCAACAGTATAAACTAACCTTGTAAAGTATCAACATACTCAATGATTTGATCTGGATCATTGGTATCACAGGCAAGCAACAGTATAAACTAACCTTGTAAAGTATCAACATACTCAATGATTTGATCTGGATCATTGGTATCACAAGCAAGCAACAGTATAAACTAACCTTGTAAAGTATCAACATACTCAATGATTTGATCTGGATCATTGGTATCACAGGCAAGCAACAGTGTAAACTAACCTTGTAAAGTATCAACATACTCAATGATTTGATCTGGATCATTGGTATCACAAGCAAGCAACAGTATAAACTAACCTTGTAAAGTATCAACATACTCAATGATTTGATCTGGATCATTGGTATCACAAGCAAGCAACAGTGTAAACTAACCTTGTAAAGTATCAACATACTCAATGATTTGATCTGGATCATTGGTATCACAAGCAAGCAACAGTATAAACTAACCTTGTAAAGTATCAACATACTCAATGATTTGATCTGGATCATTGGTATCACAGGCAAGCAACAGTATAAACTAACCTTGTAAAGTATCAACATACTCAATGATTTGATCTGGATCATTGGTATCACAGGCAAGCAACAGTATAAACTAACCTTGTAAAGTATCAACATACTCAATGATTTGATCTGGATCATTGGTATCACAAGCAAGCAACAGTATAAACTAACCTTGTAAAGTATCAACATACTCAATGATTTGATCTGGATCATTGGTATCACAAGCAAGCAACAGTATAAACTAACCTTGTAAAGTATCAACATACTCAATGATTTGATCTGGATCATTGGTATCACAGGCAAGCAACAGTATAAACTAACCTTGTAAAGTATCAACATACTCAATGATTTGATCTGGATCATTGGTATCACAGGCAAGCAACAGTATAAACTAACCTTGTAAAGTATCAACATACTCAATGATTTGATCTGGATCATTGGTATCACATGCAAGCAACAGTATAAACTAACCTTGTAAAGTATCAACATACTCAATGATTTGATCTGGATCATTGGTATCACAAGCAAGCAACAGTATAAACTAACCTTGTAAAGTATCAACATACTCAATGATTTGATCTGGATCATTGGTATCACATGCAAGCAACAGTATAAACTAACCTTGTAAAGTATCAACATACTCAATGATTTGATCTGGATCATTGGTATCACAAGCAAGCAACAGTATAAACTAACCTTGTAAAGTATCAACATACTCAATGATTTGATCTGGATCATTGGTATCACAGGCAAGCAACAGTATAAACTAACCTTGTAAAGTATCAACATACTCAATGATTTGATCTGGATCATTGGTATCACAGGCAAGCAACAGTATAAACTAACCTTGTAAAGTATCAACATACTCAATGATTTGATCTGGATCATTGGTATCACAGGCAAGCAACAGTGTAAACTAACCTTGTAAAGTATCAACATACTCAATGATTTGATCTGGATCATTGATTACTGTGTCACCATGGACAAGTACAGGAACATGAACTCCGTTTGGATTCAATCGTATATACCAGGGTTCCATGTGTTGTCCATGGAAGAGACTCACAATGCAAGGCTTGAACTTCAACTTCTTTTCAAAGAAGCTTATCAAAACCTAAAGTAGACAATAATAATTAATAAATATGTTGTGGCGTGATTGAATTTAAGGCTTTGGGCAGCATGTGAATCATTTCTGACATTTGTTTCATTTCAATGGTAAAATGTTTTCATCACACATCAAAACTCCATAAACTATGGATGGGGATAAAATGTGAAACAATTCACTAGACATTTTTTTTCCAGTTATACTATAGTTGGTGGTGAGGAAAGTGTTATTGTGAAACAAACTACTGCCCAAGATTGTATAGCATGTTAAATACTGCTTTACTAATCATTTTGTATTACTAACTATTTTTTAAGTGTTTCTGCTAAATACTTCTATGACTAAACATTGTTCTAGTCATTTTTACTATTTTCGTATTCATTTTTACTAAATTACTAAGCTACATCTAGATCTAACTAATGTAATTGATTGTGGTCTCTGCATGTCAAAAACATTAAACAAATAACTTGGCCTACATTTGACATAATTATTTATATATCTACTAATTTAAAATAAATTTGGGACGATTGAGTATACCAATGTCCGATAATAGACTCTTATGAAAATATGTTTTTTGTATTTATATAAAGTGTATATATACTAATTATTGCTGCTAGTAAACATTGTTCTAGTTCTTCTTACAACTTTAAACTTTAGTAAGTCTAATCGTCTTATTCTACTTGGCCTAGATTTAGATCTAGTTGTCGCAAAAAAGTTTTTTCACCCACTGGATAGTAAACATAAGCAAGCAATCATGCGAGTGACGATGTTTAAAAATTTTATTTTTTAAAAAAATCACCCGTCAGGTTTTCAATATGAAAATAATAAAATGTAAAAAAGACACTAGATCTAATGCTTGTCGTGCTAGTCCCAGGTATTGCACACTATTATGCACATTTTATTTGGCTTTCATTTCGTGTGCAATTCTTTTTCCACGAGATTTTATTCTATTTTAAAAAGTTTAAGTATTTAAAATGGATTAAAAATCGTGTCTATATCCCGAGTTCCCATCCCTGTTGTTTTATATAATAATATTCGAGAAAGTTTAGGGGAGATCACTCCCGGTTTATTTTTTCAATTTCCTCTGGCTGAGTACTGAGTACCTACCTTTTGCGAAGAATAGGACGTAGGAAAGTAATATAAAATAATGTCATTTAACGCAGGGTCTACTTGAGTTAGTTTTGCTTTTGAATTCTGCTCTATTTTCTCTTCACCACCAGCCAATGCATCGGCAGAAGACATGTTTTTGTTGACATAGGCCTACAACACTGCCAATTTTTAATGACAAACTGACCTGACAAATTAAGGTGATTCTAATTACCCTAACGACGAAAATGAGTGGAACACAATCATATAGACTTCTTTCTATGCCTTTTTTACTTTTAAGTTTTCTTTACCGTTCTCGTTAGAATTGTGACAACAATGTTTGAAATATTTTATTTTCAAAGTTGTCATAAACATACATTTTAGTCGTGGATAGAACATTTAAATATTTTCTCGCAATGTTTTCTTTTTATTAAGAGTATATTTTGAAAATCATAAAAATGTGGCAACTTGAATGTGGCAGGAAACAGTTGTACCGCAAAATGTATATTCAATCTTCGCCGTTGATGATATTCTTAACCCTACATTACATTGTTTGGTGATTTTGTTGATATTGATAGATAGAACAATATCTGCACGATATTTTATGACTCGGCGAAGCAGAGGCGTCGCGACCCTTCCCGACGCCCGTGGACAAACTTTTCGATTTGCACTCCCCCCCTTCGAGATTTTGATTTGCACCCCCCCTCAAACTTTCGATTTGCACCCCCCCCCCCCTCGAGATTTTGATTTGCACCCCCCCCCCCTCAAACTTTCAATTTGCACCCCCCTCAACCTTTCAATTTATTTTTCCAACCCATTTTGGCGCCCCCTAAGCTCGCGCCCGGGGACATATGTCCCCCCTCCCCCTCGCTACGCTACTGCGGCGAAGGACGCGAAGTAAGCAAATCACGACTGAAGGGATCTACTATCTACTTGGGTTTACATGTACTTTTAAAATAAGCTAAGGAACAATTTTTTAAAATAGTTTGATTACTTTAAATGGATTTTTTACATTAAGAAATGAATATTGTAATTGATAAATGTAAGAAAAAGTTTTTTTTTTGTTTTTTTTTAAGTTTTAGGCATATTATGAAAAAAAAAGCACATTAGAATTAGTCTGAATTACGATACCTCGGTGTCGTGGAAATTGCAAAATGTTTTTCGGGAATAAAATTAAAAATTGTAGAAAGATCTAGATCTAGATATAGGTTTTTACTTCACGACGTCTATTTTGATATCAGTTTTTTAGTGAAATTTATTTAAATTTGTAAAAGACATTTTTTATTTAGCCGCCGAAATATATTTTATTTTTATTTTAGCGTTTTTCTGTCGTGGCGAATCAATATTCGCTCTATGCACGCACACGTTGTAAAACTAGACATTAAAACATGAGTACACTGCGATCGAATAGCAAAGTTTTTAAATTTAAGTTTAGCCTACTTTTGACTTTAAGACGACCTTCGCGCTAGTCTTTTTCTTCGCAATAATGTCGAGGGCATAATTCTAAAAATAATCGAGTCCTTACTAATATGATGTTTATTTTTAGAGAAAAAAAAAGGCACAATTATTGGAACGCATGAGAAATAACGAATTAATATTTCTTTAAGGCTATAGTCAAAAGAAAGTAGAACCTTATAAATCTGTAAACTATGAATCGAGCGACGGCTGTTGTGTAAACGGGAGCCATTTTACTTTTTTTTTAGGATGGCCTACTTTTATTATATATGTTATATCATTTATTATTTGGTAAGCAGCTGAATAGCTGACTAGACGTTTGCGTTATGGATTTGCATATGTTTTGAGATGGGGTACGAGTACGTCGTAGAATATTTTTTTTAAGAACCAAGTGTGTTTTTCAAACGTAAAATAAAAAATTGTGTATTAGTTGTGGATTTCATCTATTTCATTAAAGTACTGATCACAAACTTAAGTTTTTAAAAGATATTTTGCTTTTAGATCTAGCGTATTTTGAAAATGATGTAGAACAAGATCTATTTGACAACCGTGTCCGCAAAAGAAGGTCACCATGGTATTGCAATACCAGATTCTTAGGTTTTATTTAGGGGTCATCCAAGATTTTAGAAAAATATCGATGTTTTAAAAAAAATTGAACTGCAATTTGGAGGCGGGGGGTTGTAGGCTGAGGCGTGACGTCATTTTAGGGGGGGGGGGTCTGGATTTTTGTGACGACGTGTGACGGAGGGGAAGGGGGGGGGAGGTAAAAATCGTCAAAAAAAAGCGTGACGTCATTTATGGATGACCCCCTAACACTGTTATCACTACACACTGAACTTAACAGAACATAATTGAATTTAAATGTTTATGAGGGCCCACAATGTTTTGTTAATTTAGCTTTTGTCACTAGGCCTACTTTTCTCTGTGCTTGTCTTTGAATTTTTCGACCGCACTTTTCCACGCAGGTCGTTAAAATAAACCAGTCAAAACAGGTTAGAGTATGCAGTTTTTTACTATTTTATGGAAGCCTAACATTAGGGCTACATAGACAACAAATCTAGATTCTACATCGAACTTGAATAATTACTTAGATAAATTGAGCACAGTTGCCACAAGAGTTTCTTTCAAGCATCCCCCACCCCCAAATCCCCGGATGAAATTTTTTTAAAATATATTGAAATAGAAAATATGTACTAAACTACCCCCCCCCCCCCCAACACACACTAAATTGGTAAGTCGTGGAAATCTTTAGCAAAGGAAAATAAATAAATACTTTAAGGGGTGATAAATCTTTTGGGAGAAGAACTAACAAACAACAGCATAATTTTAGAAATTGTACCTAGAGAGTAGATCTAGATCTAGATCTAGAACCTAATCTTCAAACATAAAAAAATATTTAAAACATAGGCCTATTTAGTTTTGTTTTTTAAAAGATAACCTAATGTAGATCTAGATCTAGCTCTTCGTTTTCACAAACGAGATTGTGTTTAGTCAGCGATACAAGGCAGCAGAAGAGGGTGGGGGTAGCGCTCTCACTATCAGACTCAGAGAGACTCCGTCCGTAGAACTGTTTACTGACTGTAAGTACTTTAGTAGTAGTTTAGTTAGACTGTAGTAAAGTGTAGTAGTAGGAGAAATTTTATATTATTATAATTATTGTTTTGAGTTTATTTTTTATTTAACATTTTTAACTCATAATCATATCATACTCAAAGCCCACCGGTTGGTTGAGGCCACTCCTGGGGGGGGGGGGGGGGGGGGAAATTGACGACTGAATGACCTTGCCTTAATTTAAAATAGCTGGGTAATGGTCTCAAAGGAAGTGGCTATTCTGACCCGGGTCCTAATAACTTAAAGTTATTAGTTCGTGTACTTAAATATTACCAGTGGCGTTGCTGGATCTGGTGTCACCCAGTGTGGCACTTCAAGGTATCACCCCCCCCCCCCCTCCCTTACACACACCAAAGGAATAAAGTATAAGATATAAATATGGACAATAGTTCCAGTCATCCCTTTGAATCCTGGTCAGAACCTCCACCATGCTGGATGTAGTGTTGTTTTCTTTATAGTTAGCAGGTTTAAGTTATGGTGTCTTCCCCCCCCCCCCCCCCTTGTATAATTGTCAATTGATACTTAAATTATTCATTAACTGAACTGGCAAAAAGCATTTTTCTTTTTTATATTTGCAATTTTTGTATTGGTGTCTGTCCTCCCTCCCCCTTAAGTTGTGTCACCTGGTTTGGTCCTCACCCCATGCCTCGGATCAGTACTATTTCTAGTCAGTAGGCTGTTAAATTTTCTACATACAATCTTATTCTTACATGAGTGGTAAGGGTGAGCAAACTAGTGAATCATGCATTATCACTCCAATATGTGTCCTTTGCAGTTCAAAATGTTTATTAAATCTTTAATTGTCTTTTAATTTGTATTCATTTTGTTCAACCTTAGGTCTTAGTGATCTTGGATCTCTACTGATTAGTCTATAAACCTGATTTTTAACTACAAAATCAGGTTTAAAAAACTTGTATTTAATTTTGTATTTAAACATTGTAACAGTTTTAATAGGCCTACTTAAAAGGTCTTACATGTGGCATCCAAAAAATATCTTACTGTTAAATCTATTTTTAACACAGGAAACCTCATTTTTTGCTGCAATCCAGATGCTCAACAAATTTCCATAATGTTTACTATAAAACATATAAGAGTACGTCATGCCACAGTTATTACAGTGACTATGCTGCAATGTCAGTTTAGTTGTTTAACAAAACCCTACAATAAAAGGTTCTTAAAGTTGTCATTTGGTCTACTAAAAGATGGTCAGATTATTTCTCCTTTCACACGAAATGGTAATAATTCAAGTGGAAATTCATTTTCTAAACTACATGGCAGTGCTAATTTTGAATCATCAAAATTAATTTCTACACCTTCAAAAGTTGGCTCTCCAAGTGAACAGTTAACTTCAGGGTCACGTATACTAACCCCTGAGCTACCAGGGTTAATAAACAATTCCCCAATACAGCCCAATCCCAAATCTCTTAGCCAAGATGGGCGTAGAGAAGTGTCATCAACAGCAAGTGAAACAGATAATCCTAAAGAGAAAGTGCAAACACATACTCTTAGAACAATTCTGGATTCTAGTGCTGGTAATCCCCATGGTATGTACAAACGCTTTCTTATAATTGTAATATAATTTATATTATTATATAATTTTAAAATATCTTGATTTTATCCTATAAACTTTGTTTTCTCTCATATAAGATATATAATTATTTTTATTATTTGCTACTAAACAGATGACATTTCATTACTTTCATCAAGACGTGTTGACCCTTCCACTGTTCGACAAGTTTACTATTTTGACACTCTAGCATTTGCCAAACGGCTGGAATCAAAGGGTTTGTGACTATCCAAAATAAATAATTATCAAATGAGATCTAATTAAAATGATGCTTGTCTAATTAAAGAAGTAACTTTCTCATCTTAGATATTTCAAATGTAAATCACTATATGTTACTGGATGCCTCATTTGATTTAATGTAACTGTAAAATCAATACTTAGGTTTTACAAGAGAACAAGCTGAAGGATGTGCAGAATGCTTAGTAGAGATAATTAGTACAACACTAGATCACCAAGGTAGACATATGGTATCTAAACCACAACAGGTATGTTTGTTATTAAAAAGACTAGTGTAACCATTTTCTAGTTTTTATTTGTTAAATGGAAGTATTGCTTTCCAGAACAATTAAAGCAGTAGAATATAATATTTACTCATAGTGAGAAGCTAAAACTAATTTTAATTAATTTGTGATTATCATTGATTTTACGAAAATCTCATCATAGGAAATTGCAGTTCAGCAACTCATGTCTGAAATTGTATCCGTTAAAAAAGACATGACACTTTTACAGAAAAGTGAATTCTCATCACTGAAAACCGAAACTGAGGTATAATTAATCTCTAAGATTATAAGATAATTACAATGTAAAAATTCTGTTTCAAAGTGAGTTAATAGCTAAAGCAAGAAAATTATGTATGGATATTCTTTGAAATTCTTAGTTGCTGCCAAAATTTTGTTTAATTTGATGGGTATGAAAATTTTAATTTGATGTTTATGAAAATATTTTTGTTCATTCAAACAGAAAATGAGCATTGAGCTGTCTCAAGTGCAAGGTCACATAAAGGATGAAATTGTCAAATTAAAAGGACAATTTAGTCTTGATATCAACTTAGAAAGGGGTAGAGCAATTGAAGCTGTAAGTAGAATTTTTTTACTAACAGTTAACAGATACGTTTTCAATATTAATACATTTGTTCTGCAATTTCAAGAAGTGCTTACTGGTACTAAGACGTCCATAGAGATTGCATTTTCATTCTTTCACTACTTATAATATATTAATAGAGGATGTTTTTTTAGCATGCAGAAAATGAAAAAAAACTTCAACAGCTGCACAACAAAATAGAGACAGAAATTGCTAATCTTAAGACAATTTATGAGGTGTATCGCAATGATGTTTTCAAATATGCCGGAGGTAAGTTTTGCGCATTATAATTTTTTAAAGTAATTCTTTCCGCCATTCATGCATAAGTAGATATTACAGTATCCACAGCTGTGTTAACCTTGAATTAATCCTCATTGGCATGACACAATTGACTTCTGTTTTTTAGATGACACTAGTTCTAATTTTGAGATTCAAATATGTATAAGTATAAGATTTAAAGTTCAAATGCACTAGTCTTTGTCTGTTAGACAGTCATTTTTAACAGACTACCATTTTGCGGGACTTAATATTTATGTGTCTCTGACCATTAGTCTGGCCTTAGTAAGCATTGTGACCCCAGATTTTTTCTAGGCCTATGTGAACTTACTGTAATCTCACTGTGTAGTCTAGGGTAGATGTAACATTACTTTTCAAGTGATCCGGATTAAAAAATTTGCGTTAGTGAAGAAAGCTAAAAGTCAGCAATTTCACCCACAACCTCAAATGTGCTATAAGCCAACTACAAACAATAAATGATTTTTTAGTAGAATAACACATTTATGAAATTTTGCAATATGAACCTGAAAACTTCCATGATATTGCTTTTACATCATCACAAATGGGAGGAGGATAACATTTGTGAAAACAGTAGAAAATAGGGGTTAAGATTTTTTAAAACATGGGAAGGTTAGCATAATATTTGCTACTCAGTATAGGAAGTGCTAAAATATGTGTTATAAAAGCAGCATACCACAGTGTACATTTCTACCACTATTTATTGCTCAGGCCTACCAAAAAGTTTTCCAAGATATTTCCTCACTTTTCTACTATGCATTATCTACATAGTACAAAGTATGACTACTATCAGCTCAACTCACTACACTATAAGCATGGTATTAACATAAGCAGTATTTTTTAATAGTGGGGTGGCAGATCATTGAAATGTAACACAATACATAATGATTATGTGGTAGACGTGGGTCTAAAATTTTAAACCGTTTTTGTTGTTTGTTCATCAGTTTATATTAACTTTTGTTTATTAAAGATTGTTACTAAGATAATAAGTCAACTAATGGACTGTATATTGAGCCTAATATGAATCAAATGTCTTGTCTTCATCTTTTCCCTTTTGTGCTTAAGACACGTGGGGCCACCACAGAAGAGCTCTTTCCTCTGGCAATTTTCTTGGCACTCTAATTAAAATGTCTCGGGATAACATTAAGTTTATTATAAAAATTTTAAAGTTTTGTTCAGGAATTGTTTGCAGTCAAGTAATAGTAAAAAGTGTACTTTTATTAAAGTTTAAAATGTCATTATGCCCTAACATTGTTAGGGTTTTCAAAAACAATCAGGATTTATAAAAACTATTGAAATCTTTATCATGTCCTATTCTTGCTAGTTGGGATGATGGTTTAATTATCACTGGCTTTATTCACTTTTCTAAGGCTTTGTATTCTATTTTGTGTTTAATTAGGCACAGTGATAGCAGTAGGAGGTCTTATTCTTGGAGTCTTGAGGTTGTGGCACTAAACACCAAACTGTGGGTTCCCATCAGAGCAAGTATAGTATAAACAGACCAAGTCAGAGTTCACTCAGGAGCTCTACAGAACAAGTTTAGTTAGGTCCCATGTCAAGCTTTTTGTGTCATTGAGATTTTAAAACATTTATCTTCACTTTCATTTTGTGGCACTTTATATAGACTTAATGTAAGTAAATGTAATTCTTTAATCACATAATTTAAAGATACATTTTATTGCTGCTTATTTTTATAGTAAATGAAATAAATATGATGTAATTTTAAAATAGCACCCAGTAATTGATATTGCCAATCTTATTATTAAAATAAATAATCTATTTAATCATACTTTCATTTACAATTTTGCTACAATTTTTTGAAAATGTCAAATATTGACGTTCTTTGATAGGAATTTTTTTATATGGAGAAACAAAAATTTGGTAATTGGTATGGTAACATCAAGATAAGTGTAAATATATCAAACTGCTTTTACTGTGTAAAAGAAAACAAGCTTTTGTTTATTCACAATTTTGAAGCAAAATAAATAATCTGTTGAAGAATGTCTTGCGTGCTGCATATATTTGAAACATGCTATAAATAAGGAAAGTTTTTTAATTGTATGTGTTCTATTTTGAAAACACAAGTATCATATGAGCATGCATGTGTAGACCATGTAAAAGCTTAATCATGTGTCTGAGAAAATAGTTGACTGTATTCTTTTATGCACATTCCTAACCTACACAGTTTAAGCCTTTGAAGTTCATATTGTTTGAACCAGTCTTGTACTACCACCCCCACATTTTAAAATTAAAGAGGCACCAATATTAAAATCCTTTTATGGAGCACTTGCATGGAACCAACAGTCCAAGTATTTAAATATTATGAAGTGCTATTTTTAGGGGTCATCCAAGAACCAATTCATAATATGTATGATTTGGCATCCACAAAACATTGTAATTTTCTGGACCCTTCTTCTCCATGTGGAAATCCACAAGTCATTGATGTAGTGATTTCTTTTTCTTGGCAATCAGTTAATTTTGACATTTGGTATATTTTAAATATTAAGTTACTAAGACAATTGTGGCCTTGGCCTACAAAATGAAACAGCAAGATTATTTTGTTGTTATTTAACTTTAAATAATCTCTTAATTTAATACCATACATATATAGCAGTCAACAACTGTAGTAGAACGAAAAAGTACTAAGGAAAAGAACAAATTACATTCGGTATGCAAGATTTTTATTTTTTGTAAAATTTGTACATGAGAAAAATCAAACTGGTACAAGTAGTATAATTTAAAATAATTATTTCTTAAATACTAAGTAAAGACTATAAACTATGGCTAAAAAGAAAGATTTAAAATAAAATTTATAAATTGACCTAATAAGAGCCAACACAGAGTAATAGAATCAGTATTTAATTCAGTATCAACTTCTTGCCAAAAGATTTTAAATGCCACTAAAAATATTTCTACATGCAAAATTAAAATGTGTATGGATTATTTAAAATGACCTTTCGGTATGAGCACAGATAAATAACTACTTAAGGCTGGCGATGATTCAAGCAAATTTCATCGAATGTCCTTTACAGCTAAATACAATAAATATACAAGCACTGATTTCAGTACTACCCACAGTCCTAACAATTCCCCACAGAAACATCAAGACAATTTATGAAGCTCCTCTGTTGATTGAGTCACATTTCTGACATCTTTGTTGTACTTTTCTATTAGTACCTATTAAAAAATGTAAAGTCAGAAACAATGAGAATTTTCAAAAAACAAAGTATTAGTTGAAGTAAAGGAAATAGAAAAATCAGCCACTAGAAGATACTGTGACACCTCAATTCTGTCAAATAATCTATTTTGTCTACCCCTCTAATTATAAATAGAAATGGTAAATTATGTAGTTACAAGTAAATAGTGTTCTCTTTTTATATGAACAATAATAAATTTTAAAAGTAATCGTAGTTTTCGAAATTCATTTTAAAAAAAAAGATTCCCAACACTGTGTTTACACTTGCAACTTTTAGAATTATATATGGTCCATGGGAAAATGTTTTCATATAAATTATAACTAAATACATTTTTACATGTTTAATTCCCTAGACATGTATAGGATAGTTGCAAGTGTTAACATAAGGTGGTTACATTCTCCTACCCTATAAGTATTCATAATGTGTATCCGTTTATCCCTCTTTACACACAAAAAAAAAGAATAATTAGGGATCCAGTCAAGTTTATGGGGCAGGAAGTGCATGAAAAGATGCTACAGGCTACTTAAATAAAATGACAAGAAACTTAGGATGAAGTATTAAACTAGGACTGCCATATAATTATACTGATTATAATAAATATTCTAAAAATATTTCTTTCAACCTACTGAATATGGGCTATTAGAGATTTTTTCATAAGGAAGAGGCTGATGTCTGAATGAATCACAAGGATCCAAACTTATTAAAAATATGAGGGATAAGCGGCTTACAAGTTTAAAACTGATTACAAATCTTTAGGCTGGCAAGTGATCTGTTAACTTCTTGATAAAAAGAAAATATTTCACATCTTCTGTAAGGAATTTTTATTAATTTACCAGACCTTGAATAAGAAACAGCCAAAATAGTTGAACACTGAAGAACCAATTATAACTAATACATCAAGATGAAATATGAAAAGTAGTCATGAGTATAATAGATGCTTTTTGCTGTTGGTCTCATTGAGGCAAAAGACTGAATAAAATTTGTTGATAAATATTTGCAAATTTAATTCCTTTCTTTGTAATTTCTGCAAGGCAAGTTTTCTCTTTCTTTACTGGCAACTGTAGCTTGCTTTAAAAGTTAAATTTAATAGGTGTCCAATAAAGGCACATTGTCCTAAAAATACCTTTTCTCTTGAAAACAATTTCATCAAACAGAATACAATCAAGAATAAAGTCAATTGGTGTGAATAATCGTGTTCTCCTTTAAACAAGTGGCAAAGAATGCTTAAACCTAGTTGTTTCACAGCAAATTTTAAGTATTTATTTTGAAATTCTGGCTGCATACTTCTGAAAGTAATTGGAGTTACCAGTACATGGCTTCAAGTTTAACAACATAACTGCTTCCCCAAACACTGTATATCAAAAATTTAGAAATTATACTTATAATATACATAAATTACAAACCTTTTTATATAAAACTTGATCTTTCCATAAGTCAGCCGCATTTGTATTAAGTGGACTATCAATATTTGGTTCTAAAAACAGAAAATTTAATTTATTTACAACAAGCTTTGCATGTGAACTATTGGACTTAGACAATGTAATTATACACACCACCAAGTAAGCTTTGTATGGACAGCAAGACAGTCCTGACATCGTATAGGGCAGACCACTTTTCCTTCAAAATATCAAGGCAAATATTCCCATGTGTGTCGACATTAGGGTGATAGCATGGAGTATCAAATTTGACTTTAACCGCTTCAATAGGATATTGTGAAGGGAATGTTAGGGAGAGTTTATAGGAAAGTCCTTCATAAACCTGGAAATACAGAATTCATTATCATTGTGTGTGTATATATATATATATATATATATATATATATATATATATGGCTAAATATGTGAGTATAGGCCTGTATAAATATAGGGCCTACTTAAATAAAATAAATACACTGTAGGCAAAAAGTGTTTTAAAAACCTACCGTGCCTTTACCCCCTTCAATTGTTCCAATCCATTTAAACATGTTATCACCATCTGGAAAAGCTGATATACCAGGACTACCTGAAATCTAATGCTCAACCAATTAAAAATACAGCAAGCAAAGGCTACTTCGTAGGCAAACACTCAAGTATACAGAACTAATAATTACTATATTCTACAAATTGCTTTATTTTATCTAAAAGCCCACTAGCAGTTTAATGCTAAGATAGGGGTATTGTTGGGTGACCAAAATTTGAAAAGCGCCATTATAATGACTTAAAAGGAACCAACACTAAAAGTAAAACCCAATATACTCACCATTAAAGTTCTTAGCTCTTTCTGTAATCTGAAAATTAAAACAAATGTATGGTTAGACTGCAAACACATTTGAGAAAGGTGTATTTGCCTAGGATTTATTTTTTACTAGCATATGGCAAAGCAAAGCCAGTAGCGGTTCTAGATGATAATCAGTGAAACAACTATAAAAATAATCTTTAAACTATTCCAGTGAAATGGAAAAATTGGCAGTATGTGAGATGTGGGGGGGGGGGGGCCTATAATGAAATTCTTATTCATCAACAATGCCATGACAGGTTTACCAGCTGTTGTAAAAGTTATGTGGTGAGTGCAAAATTTTACTGCACCAGAATTTCTTTTCTATCCTCAGACATAATTACGTAGTGTCTGCTTTCTATAGGCTTATCATTTTACTTTGAAATATGTTACAGCTTTGGAGTTATTTGAGTTAACATTTGATTATTTACTACGCATTTGAGGGCAGTTTGAACCCTCGGGCAGATGAGGCTCGTAAGCTGGGGACAGCCACTCTTCTAGGAGAGACAACTCCAAAATCAAACAACTACTGCCTTGTGGTTTGTTCTAAGTTAGAACTTCTTGGTTGAACAAAGGCTATGGAAGCAAATGCAAAAAGAAAAGCAGGTTGAAATCGGAGTCAATGGCCTCAATGGCGCATCCAGTTGACACTTATCCTTAATTGTGATGGAGGCGTGGTCGAGTCGGCAAAAGCTCATGGTTGATAAATTCGAAAAAGTCTCGAGTTCAACCCTCTGGTAGATAAGGCCAAGGCTCAATCCCTTCCAACACTAAAAATTAAGAAGGAAGAAGACTAGTCTAGACGCTGTGCTTGGTACTAGCTTTTTTTTTTTTTAAGATTTAGATCTAGATCTATAAATAAATAGTCTACAAGAAATCAAGATCTTATAATAATTATTAATAGGCCTATAGTATAGTCTAGCACTAGCTACAGTAGCTAGATCTAGATCTAGATCTAGACTTTTTAATAATCGTCTTCGCTTTGACGGCTTTGTTTAGGCCAAATTTTAAATTGTGTCAGTTTCCAATGTTTTTTATGCGCACAGAATGCAATATGCTACACAAATACCTTTTAGTAACATTGCTAGACGAAGATTTAGATTCAACAGCCAATTCAGCCATACTATTTATTGTCAGATACGTAAATCGGGATTTAAATCTTAATAATATTCTAAATCAAGATTAAAAAAGTAAGTTTTGAATGAAAACAGATTGCACTGCAAGGCTTAGGCCTATTCTTTAAGCCAATTATTTGAGACTTCCGTTTATTTTTAGCCAATAGAATTGACAGTCTGTGTTGGTTATTCCTACATTATGGCCCAAAGTATATTAAAAATTTCGAAATTTAAATAATTTATTTTTTTCTAGATTTCTAAATAAGAATAGTTTAATATTTGTAGTGATTTGATAGAAAAGATTATAGAAATAAGTACATGAAAACGACTATAATAAATGCAGAAATTGTTGAGTTTCATGATAAAGAGTTAAGCTAAAGATCAAGATTTGTTATAGTCTTGATGTCTTTTGAAGACATTGGACGAAGCTAAAGCGGAGGAGTGGTGGGTTGCCCATAATTAATTTACTTTTTTTAAAGGCATATTTAGCAACTATTGCAAAGATGTTCAGGTGACTAATTGCACTTCCATAAAATAGAGATAAAATTAGTTCAAAGGTTTAATTTGAATTTTATCTGGCGAAATTAACCCCTTTTAAAACATTGTGGGCTGGGACCCATTGTACCGGACTGTACTAACAAAATCACGGAATAACGGAATCAACTGATCAATCTTTTAGCGTGAAGTGATACTGTTTCAAGGGGGGGGGGGTGAAATCATCTAGATGGGCGGTAGATTTAGAAAAAAAAAAACAGCGTCGGGTAAATAGGTGGATTCTTGATTTAAAAAAATTTATAAGTGACAACTTATTAAAAAGCAACCAATCATTTCCCTCCAGAGACAAAAAAATATAATGTTACGTAGCCTACTCTATCGATGAAAACCTATTGTCATTCAATCTCAAAGTTAAAAAAAATACTGGTGTTACTTATACACAGAATACATTATTTCCTCGATCGGTTAAATACGTAATCGATTTCAGCGTCACACATAAGTTCAAAAGTTACCCCAGTGAATAGCTTTATAAACTCTCTAACAACATATAAATCTAGTGCTAGAATTCACAAAGATGATCGTAGACGGGGGACATCTACATTACAACTAGCATTTCATTAGACAGTCTTGCAAGCTGAATTTCTTTCAGACATCTCTTCGGGGAAGGGAGGGAGGGGCTTAGGGAACTATTGCCGTCATACCATGCCATAATAGAATATATAATTTGCATTAGTTCATGATATTTAAAGATATAATGATTAAAATCCGACTGAAAATATTGAATCGCGATGGTTGTAAATCAAGCATCCAATCAAGTCAAATTTGATGTCAGATAGCATTGTCATCAGGTCTTGACCCACATTCCAAGTTTAATTCAGAGAAATCGGTCCGTTAGAAGTGGTCGAAATTTCGCTCGCTAGTTTCGATCATTGACGGACAACAGACGAAAGACATAGGGGGACGGTGGAAGCATGTTAAATAAAAGCTTGCAATAAAAAAAATACGCACAAACATATGCATAACAACAACTTTTCTGACATTCAAACCGCATTTTATATTCGACTATACGCATAAAATAAATAAAAATGATTTTTTTTTATCCCATCGCACATTGTAGCGATCGATTATCTATGAATTATTCGTTTAGCGCGGGTTACATTTTTTAAACGAACGCTGTGCTAATGACATTCACCAAGTAAATGCTCGGCAGTTTAAAAACTAGAAATCGACAAAGCTGTGTTTGAGGGTAGCCAATGAAAGACAAACAAAGAGAAGATGAAAGAGCGAAGACAAAACCGATGTTTAATCATCGACACGGCAACGTTTTTTCAAATGAGAAACACGATAACAAGGGAGCGATTTTTTCGATTGCTTTTTTAAAAAGTCTCCCACTCCCCCCCTCCCCCTCCCTCCCCCTCCCTCCCCCTCCCTGGCGCGTGAGTACACAGCAAAAAAGACGCCATCTGCTGGTGGTCGGTTGACTGGGTTGATTAATGGCGAGTGGAGAACAACAAAAGGGAAATGGAGTTTTTGTGTGGCAGCGATGACGCTGTACAGTGGCACACAGCAGCGGGTCGTTAGACGTTACATGTCATCTTGACAAACTAGCAATTTATGGGCAGCGTACAGATCTCCATAACAGATTAGAAATTTATGTACAGCTAACAGGTCTCCATAACAAATTAGAAATTTATGGCTGCTTACAGATCTCCATAACAAATTCGAAATGTATTTGTTGCTTACAGATCCCCATTACAAATTAAGAATTTGTGTGCAGCTAACATTTCTCCATAACAAACTTGAAATGTCTATACTGCTTACAGATCTCCATAACAAACTACAATTTTCCGTGACGCTTACACTAATTACAGATCGCCATAACAAACTAGAAAAGTATGTGCAGCTTACACTTACAGTTGCAGCTCTCCAGTAATAAATTAGAAATTTACTTGTTGCTTACACAACAAAGCTCTGAATTACAACTAAGGAATACACGTGATGAGTTTTAGGCATGATTTGATTATGTAGAGTCGGCTCGAGTCAAATATAAAGGACTGTAACCAATTGATCAATGTTATTTTAATTGTGCTTTACGTTATATTCATCACATATCAATCCTTTGATTTGACTTAATTTATTGCTAGTATTAAGTCTTCGCCTTAATTAAGAGTCATCAGGGGAGATAAACATATTTTGTTAAACGGAATATTGTACAAAACTCATAAAGTTATGTCCCATTTGTCAACGCACAAAAGCGATATAAGGTAGGACCGTCTGTAAACACTAAGTTCTAACGATTAAAATGTTTTGGACACGTGACCAAAATGTTTATATCACAAAGTTATGACCAAAATGTTTGTAGGCACAAAGTTGTGAGTACATTGTTAGTTGACTTTGTCCAATGCTAAATTGTTATACTGGAAGAACAGGTATCTTATTTGTGTGCGTTAAACCTATTAACACATGAGCTTATGCTTGTCACGAGCATATATGTAGGATAACACGACAAGCATATTTGTAGGATAACATGACGAGCATATGTGTAGGATAACATGACGAGCATAAGTGTAGGATAACATGACAAGCATATATGTAGGATAACATGACATGCATATGTGTAGGTTAACATGACAAGCATATGTGTAGGATAATATGACACGCATATGTGTAGGATAACATGACAAGGATATGTGTAGTATATGACAAGCATATGTGTAGGATAACATGACAAGCATATGTGTAGGATAACATATGACAAGCATATGTGTAGGATATAACAAGCATATGTGTAGGATAACATATGACAAGCATATGTGTAGGGTATAACAAACATATGTGCAGGATAACATGACACGCATATGTGCAGGATAACATGACACGCATATGTGTAGGATAACATGACAAGCTTATTTGTAGGATAACATGACAAGCATATTTGTAGGATAACATGACAAGCATATGTGTAGTATAACATGACAAGCATATGTGTAGGATATGACAAGCATATGTATAGGATAACATGACAAGCATATGTGTAGGATAACAGGACAAGCATATGTGTAGGATAACATGACATGCATATGTGTAGGATATAACAAGCATATGTGTAGGATAACATGACAAGGATATGTGTAGGATAACATGACAAGCATATGTGTAGGATAACAGGACAAGCATATGTGTAGGATATGACAAGCATATGTGTAGGATAACATGACAAGCATATGTGTAGGATAATATGACAAGCATATGTGTAGGATAACATGACAAGCATATGTGTAGGATAACATGACATGCATATGTGTAGGATATAACAAGCATATGTGTAGGATAACATGACAAGGATATGTGTAGGATAACATGACAAGCATATGTGTAGGATAACAGGACAAGCATATGTGTAGGATATGACAAGCATATGTGTAGGATAACATGACAAGCATATGTGTAGGATAATATGACAAGCATATGTGTAGGATAACATGACAAGCATATGTGTAGGATAACATATGACAAGCATATGTGTAGGATAACATGACAAGCATATGTGTAGGATAACAGGACCAGCGTATGTGTGTGACAAGCATATGGGTAGGATATAACAAACATGTATGTTAGATACCAGACATAATCGGGATATTCTCTCAATATTGAACCTTTCGTGTTAAAAGTCGTAGCCGACCTTTGGCCGTTACGTCATTAAAGACGTCATATGTGCACGGCACTTGTCCCAGCTTTGTTAGTGAGATTAATGTTTGTTACAGCCAACATTAACCGACCAATGAGTGAAAGATAGGTATTTCACCACCCCCTCCTCCTGAAGCACGTCTACCCTTCCCTCCCGAGGTTAGGTTAGGTTTGCCTGTCGTCCCTCCTGGGACATGGGCCGCTGACAAGAGCTTTCCATGAGTCTCTGTCCTGGGCTAGTCTCTCCAAAATTTTAATGTTCCTAGGTGTATCCAATTTTCTCGGCGTCTTCTTCCCTCCCGAACAAAATATAATTTATATTCAAAATTTTTATTTTATATATTTATATATTTATATTCACAATTTTCATTCTAACTGTATCCGCCCCTCCCCAACCAAAAGTTTCAAGAGCCCCCCCTCCCCTCAAAGAAAAATGTCTGAAAGAAACACTGAACCTATAGTAAAACACCACAAACGTCATTAAAAACCTCTTATATAGGCCTACACCAGCTAAGTCTGGATACAGGACAGGGCAGTGAGTAAAATGGTTTTTATCAGAGGATCATCTCAGGGCTTGCAGAATAATATACACAGCTAGAACATTGCTTGTATCATACACAAACGTTCAAAATATTTTATTTCATTTCAAGGCAAATTAAATTGTTAGATTCTTCGAAAAATCACAAGCAAGAACATTCAAAACTAAAGCAAAAAAAATAAATAAATAAAAGGACTGGTAAATTATTTAAAAACACTAACACTATTAATTTCAACGTTATAAAAATGTGTTCATTATCTATCAAAATAAGGTAAATTATTAAATAAGGTTTTTAAAAATAATTCTTTTTCATAAAAACAAAAGACATGTAAGGCCTACATTATTCAAAATTAACTGTTCAAAAAAAAAATTATAAACTTATTCAACGGGAAAAAAAATACAATATTCATCGGAAAAGAAAACAAGTAAATTATTCAACGAAATCAAACGGGCAACAACCTAACATGTCTAGAAAGTCATGTTCACTGCACGCTTCACTTGTTTACTGTACGGATAAAGATTGACATTCGACCAGTAGCCGTCACGAATGAGCGATCACCAAATACTGCCACTGAACAACTTGCCAGAAACCCTCACACACCGAGCCACTCACGCGCATGCGTGCCGGATGAATCGCTCGCTCACACGCTCACCCCTGAAGCCAGCGATGCCGGGTGGGTTTTTTTTTAAAAATTATTTTTGGTTAGCGAGGAGGGACGAGTGCGGCGCCCGGGGGTCGAGGGCTACTCTATCGATGACTGTATTCCTTACTTGTGCCTCAAGTAGTGCAGGGAGAGTTTTCTCGGGACCATTCCGTGTGTAAACAGTGGCAGATTTACTCGCGTTTTACTGGGATTTTACATCGTGTTTTAAAGTGTTTTACTGGTATTTTACATCGTGTTTTAAAGTGTTTTACTGGTATTTTACATCGTGTTTTAAAGTGTTTTACTGGTATTTTACATCGTGTTTTAAAAAGTGGTTTACTTGTATTTTTCTTCGCGTCTTACAAAGTGTTTTTCAAAGTGTTTTACTTGTATTTTTTACCGTGTTTCAAAGTGTTTAAGTATTTTTCATCGTGCTTTAACATTAGCATTGTATATGTCGCCTTATAATAAATTAGACCAATGGACTATCTGAATAGATCTGTATTCTATACCAATGTATTTGTGATTGGATTATTGCGATAACTGTGTTCTACATCAAATGTAAACAGCGAGGTACGTCTGCACTTTTCCCCATCAGTTTAAGCACTCCGTCTCAGTGGTCTCAGCTAGTTATTTACGTTTTTTTTCCTGCTTGATGCGCGGTTAAAACAAATTTGGACAAGAGATAAGATTTGTGAATTTAACTAATCTGACACTTCCGGTGATAATCTCTCGCCCTGAAGCTTCTGTTACTTAACATCCTGAGATAATCTCTAACCCTAAACATTTTGCGTTAATCTAATGACATCACGTGATAGCTGCATGCTAACAATAATGATTGGAAACACAAAGAAATTTATAAAAAGTGCCAAGATATTATTTAAAAAAAAAAATAACCGCTCATGTAGTGATTCCAATTGCTTTGTTCTTTTAGTCTCTTGTGTAGAAATAGATCTATGTAAGCTTACACAATTTCTGTGTTCTATTAATTTAGTCTCTTGTGTAGAAATAGATCTATGTAAGCTTATTAGAAACAGCCAGTACAGAACGTCACAGAAACGGCCAGCACAACAGCCAACCCGTTTATATAAAGAAGCTAACTTCTATAGATGCAGCAGCTAGTTCCTATAGAAACAGCAACTAGCCGTTTAGAAACAGCTGCAACAGCTACACCCCCAAATAAACAACAGCTACAGCCCCATATAAACAACAACTACAGCCCCATATAAACAACAGCTACAGCTACAGCCCCATATAAACAACAGCTACAGCTACAGCCCCATATAAACAACAGCTACAGCTACAGCCCCATATAAACAACAGCTACAGCTACACCCCCATATAAACAACAGCTACACCCCCATATAAACAACAGCTACAGCTACAGCCCCATATAAACAACAGCTACAGCCCCATATAAACAACAGCTACACCCCCATATAAACAACAGCTACAGCTACAGCCCCATATAAACAACAGCTACAGCTACAGCACCATATAAACAACAGCTACAGCTACACCCCCATATAAACAACAGCTACACCCCCATATAAACAACAGCTACAGCTACAGCCCCATATAAACAACAGCTACAGCCCCATATAAACAACAGCTACAGCTACACCCCCATATAAACAACAGCTACAGCTACAGCCCCATATAAACAACAGCTACAGCTACACCCCCATATAAACAACAGCTACAGCTACAGCCCCATATAAGCAACAGCTACACCCCCATATAAACAACAGCTACACCCCCATATAAACAACAGCTACAGCTACAGCCCCATATAAACAACAGCTACAGCTACACCCCCATATAAACAACAGCTACACCCCCATATAAACAACAGTTACAGCTACAGCCCCATATAAACAACAGCTACACCCCAACAGAAACAGCCAGTGCATCTGTTTACTCCCCTTGAACAGGACAGGAAGTAGATGAAAATTAGATGGGCGTTATCTCCCCTCTTGTAAACAGACCCGTGTCTGGTGCATTGTTCTAGTGCCATCTTGTAGTCTACACGGGCCCACGGGGATAAGTGGATGAAGGCGGTGTTGTCTAAACATTTTGTTGTATGAACATAGTTGCTCTTGTGTTGTCTAAACATTTTGTTGTATGAACATAGTTGCTCTTGTGTTGTCTAAACATTTTGTTGTATGAACATAGTTGCTCTTGTGTTGTCTAAACATTTTGTTGTATGAACATAGTTGCTCTTGTGTTGTCTAAACATTTTGTTGTATGAACATAGTTGCTCTTGTGTTGTCTAAACATTTTGTTGTATGAACATAGTTGCTCTTGTCTAAACATTTTGTTGTATGAACATAGTTGCTCTTGTGTTGTCTAAACATTTTGTTGTATGAACATAGTTGCTCTTGTCTAAACATTTTGTTGTATGAACATAGTTGCTCTTGTGTTGTCTAAACATTTTGTTGTATGAACATAGTTGCTCTTGTGTTGTCTAAATATTTTGTTGTATGAACATAGTTGCTCTTGTCTAAACATTTTGTTGTATGAACATAGTTGCTCTTGTGTTGTCTAAACATTTTGTTGTATGAACATAGTTGCTCTTGTGTTGTCTAAACATTTTGTTGTATGAACATAGTTGCTCTTGTCTAAACATTTTGTTGTATGAACATAGTTGCTCTTGTGTTGTCTAAACATTTTGTTGTATGAACATAGTTGCTCTTGTGTTGTCTAAACATTTTGTTGTATGAACATAGTTGCTCTTGTGTTGTCTAAATATTTTGTTGTATGAACATAGTTGCTCTTGTCTAAACATTTTGTTGTATGAACATAGTTGCTCTTGTCTAAACATTTTGTTGTATGAACATAGTTGCTCTTGTGTTGTCTAAATATTTTGTTGTATGAACATAGTTGCTCTTGTGTTGTCTAAACATTTTGTTGTATGAACATAGTTGCTCTTGTCTAAACATTTTGTTGTATGAACATAGTTGCTCTTGTCTAAACATTTTGTTGTATGAACATAGTTGCTCTTGTGTTGTCTAAACATTTTGTTGTATGAACATAGTTGCTCTTGTGTTGTCTAAACATTTTGTTGTATGAACATAGTTGCTCTTGTCTAAACATTTTGTTGTATGAACATAGTTGCTCTTGTGTTGTCTAAACATTTTGTTGTATGAACATAGTTGCTCTTGTGTTGTCTAAACATTTTGTTGTATGAACATAGTTGCTCTTGTCTAAACATTTTGTTGTATGAACATAGTTGCTCTTGTGTTGTCTAAATATTTTGTTGTATGAACATAGTTGCTCTTGTCTAAACATTTTGTTGTATGAACATAGTTGCTCTTGTGTTGTCTAAACATTTTGTTGTATGAACATAGTTGCTCTTGTGTTGTCTAAACATTTTGTTGTATGAACATAGTTGCTCTTGTGTTGTCTAAATATTTTGTTGTATGAACATAGTTGCTCTTGTGTTGTCTAAATATTTTGTTGTATGAACATAGTTGCTCTTGTGTTGTCTAAACATTTTGTTGTATGAACATAGTTGCTCTTGTCTAAACATTTTGTTGTATGAACATAGTTGCTCTTGTGTTGTCTAAATATTTTGTTGTATGAACATAGTTGCTCTTGTGTTGTCTAAACATTTTGTTGTATGAACATAGTTGCTCTTGTGTTGTCTAAACATTTTGTTGTATGAACATAGTTGCTCTTGTGTTGTCTAAACATTTTGTTGTATAAACATAGTTGCTCTTGTCTAAACATTTTGTTGTATGAACATAGTTGCTCTTGTGTTGTCTAAACATTTTGTTGTATGAACATAGTTGCTCTTGTGTTGTCTAAACATTTTGTTGTATGAACATAGTTGCTCTTGTGTTGTCTAAACATTTTGTTGTATGAACATAGTTGCTCTTGTCTAAACATTTTGTTGTATGAACATAGTTGCTCTTGTCTAAGCAATCTGTTATAAGAAACTAGTTGCTCTTGTGTTGTCTAAACATTTTGTTGCTCTTGTCTAAACAATCTGTTATAAGAAAATAGTTGCTCTTGAATTGTCTATATAATATACAAAAAGAAAATGTGATCCAGAAAGAACAGTAAAATTGTGTGTATAAATCCTACAATGATTTAAGACATGTATATCTGCGCGTGACTGTCTTTTAAATTGTGCCCAGTTTATTTTCTCCAAAATCTGTTCTACTGTTCTACACGAACAAAGATAAATATTGTGGGAAAAATATCCCCCCCCCCACACACACATACACTCAAATCACTTGGTTTTTTTCCGTGTATCCCCTTGTATCTCCTACATATTCCATTTCCTGCATGAACTTCCTATCTTCTCCCACAGAAGACATACGGGTTGTATCTCTTATAATTGCGCATTTGTTTCAACATTTGCAACTAGATCTCTTATCGTTCTTGGCAGACAGTTTATCTAGACGTGTGCTGGGCAGCAGAAAAAAAAAAAACATTGGCTTCTAAATGTCCGTTTGTTTCTAGTGAAGGTCTAGACAAGGGGACACTATTCTAACCAGTTGGTTATAAGGGAGTTTATGTGTCTAAAGATTGTGGTCATTTCCATTGGATATTTCGACATAAAGAACATCATTGGATAGAGGGATCAAGTGTATCCACAATGGATGAGTTCTGCTAAGTGTTTGGATTACTCGACTCCTCAGCTGACCACGGGGGTCAAGATGATCCCTACACTCTATCTGCTGCTCGCTTTGAGCTTAGCCCACCTGTCGTATGGAGGTAAGTGCAGGTTGTCTAGTCAGTGTTTTACTCACGTTTTCATGTTCTTTCAAACCAGGGCTACCGTTGGCCTAAAGACCAAATGGGTGGGGCAGATACATCAAACTCTCGAGTTGCAACTAACCCCCTGACCCCCCCCCCCCATAGATATGTACATATCTTCATCAAACTCTACTGTCACGACCAACCCCCTCTCCAACATCCATAAACCTCAACATATCTCCATCAAACTCTCTAACCATAGCTTACCCCCCCCCCCACGAGCCATAGACCTGAACATATCTTCATCAAACTCTCTAACCATAGCTACCCGCCCCCCCCCCCCCCGAGCCATAGACCTGAACATATCTTCATCAAACTCTCTAGTCCCAATCTAAACCCCCGACCCCCTCACTAGATTACCCAGCTAGCTCGAAGACTTGAAGAATGGAAAATGTCCTTGACCTTTGTCTCAGACGATGTCTGTAGCAGCCAACAAAGAAGGCAGAAACACGTCATCGTTTGTAAGACAACACTCGCTTGGTTCCAGAGATTGGTCACGGGACTGAGAGCTTTAATAAAGAGCCGAATTTAAGTCATTAGCGGCAACTGACATGCTCTAGTCATAGGGGAGGTTAGTGCGTCATAGGGGAGGTCAGTCTATCATAGGGGAGGTCAGTCTGTCATAGGGGAGGTCAGTCTGTCATAGGGGAGGTCAGTCTGTCATAGGAGAGGTCAGTCTATCATAGGGGAGGTCAGTCTATCATAGGGGAGGTCAGTCTGTCATAGGGGAGGTCAGTCTATCATAGGGGAGGTCTATCATAGGGGAGGTCTATCATAGGGGAGGTCAGTCTGTCATAGGGGAGGTCAGTCTGTCATAGGGGAGGTCAGTCTGTCATAGGAGAGGTCAGTCTATCATAGGGGAGGTCAGTCTATCATAGGGGAGGTCAGTCTGTCATAGGGCAGGTCAGTCTGTCATAGGGGAGGTCAGTCTATCATTGGGGAGGTCAGTCTGTCATAGGGGAGGTCAGTCTATCATAGGGGAGGTCAGTCTGTCATAGGGGAGGTCAGTCTATCATATTGGAGGTCAGTCTATCATAGGGTGGTCAGTCTGTCATAGGGGAGGTCAGTCTATCATAGGGGAGGTCAGTCTGTCATAGGGTGGTCAGTCTGTCATAGGGAGGTCAGTCTATAAAAGGGGAGGTCAGTCTATCATAGGGGAGGTCAGTCTGTCATAGGGTGGTCAGTCTGTCTTAGGGGAGGTCAGTCTGTCATAGGGTGGTCAGTCTGTCATAGGGTGGTCAGTCTGTCATAGGGTGGTCTGTCATAGGGGAGGTCAGTCTGTCATAGGGTGGTCTGTCATAGGGGAGGTCAGTCTATCTTAGGGGAGGTCAGTCATAGGGGAGGTCAGTCTATCATAGGGGAGGTCAGTCATAGGGGAGGTCAGTCTGTCATAGGGTGGTCAGTCTGTCATAGGGTGGTCAGTCTGTCATAGGGAGGTCAGTCTATCATAGGGTGGTCAGCCTATCATAGGGGATGTCAGTCTGTCATAGGGGAGGTTAGTCTATCATAGGGAAGTTCAGTCTATCATAGGGGAGGTCAGTCTGTCATAGGGAGGTCAGTCTATCATAGTGGAGGTCAGTCTATCATAGTGGAGGTTAGTCTGTCATAGGGGAGGTCAGTCTGTCATAGGGGAGGTCAGTATATCATAGGGGAGGTCAGTCTATCTTAGGGGAGGTCAGTCTATCATAGGGGAGGTCTGTCTATCACAGGGGAGGTCGGTCTATCATAGGGAAGTTCAGTCTATCATAGGGGAGGTCAGTCTGTCATAGGGAGGTCAGTCTATCATAGTGGAGGTCAGTCTATCATAGTGGAGGTTAGTCTGTCATAGGGGAGGTCAGTCTGTCATAGGGGAGGTCAGTCTATCATAGGGGAGGTCAGTCTGTCATAGGGGATGTCAGTCTATCATAGGGGAGGTCAGTCTGTCATAGGGGAGGTTAGTCTATCATAGGGGAGGTCAGTCTGTCATATGGAGGCCAGTCTATCATAGTGGAGGTCAGTCTATCATAGTGGAGGTCTATCATAGTGGAGGTCAGTCTATCATAGTGGAGGTCAGTCTATCATAGTGGAGGTCAGTCTATCATAGTGGAGGTCTATCATAGTGGAGGTCAGTCTATCATAGTGGAGGTCAGTCTATCATAGTGGAGGTTAGTCTGTCATAGGGGAGGTCAGTCTGTCATAGGGGAGGTCAGTCTATCATAGGGGAGGTCAGTCTGTCATATGGAGGTCAGTCTATCATAGGGGAGGTCAGTCTATCATAGGGGAGGTCAGTCTATCATAGGGGAGGTCAGTCTGTCATAGGGGAGGTCAGTCTATCATAGGGGAGGTCAGTCTGTGTTACTCCCAATAAGGTGTGTGTTTGTGTGTGTGTGTGTGCGTTGTTTGGAGGGGGGGGGGGGTTGAGCCCCTAATGTCACGTGACACTGAAACCACACAACCGAAACAATATTGGCGGGCAACCTGAAACAAGGTATTAGCAAAAATTAATTGAAATTTATTTTTAGGTTTGTCGCTTATTGTTTGGTCCACACTGGGTGACAGAGGTAGGTCATGTAGACATCTCACCTGTCTGACCTGAGTACCCCGACATCTCACCTGACCTGAGTACCCCGACATCTCACCTGTCTGAACTGAGTACCCCGACATCTCACCTGTCTGACCTGAGTACCCCGACATCTCACCTGTCTGACCTGAGTACCCCGACATCTCACCTGACCTGAGTACCCCGACATCTCACCTGACCTGAGTACCCCGACATCTCACCTGTCTGACCTGAGTACCCCGACATCTCACCTGACCTGAGTACCCCGACATCTCACCTGTCTGACCTGAGTACCCCGACATCTCACCTGTCTGACCTGAGTACCCCGACATCTCACCTGTCTGACCTGAGTACCCCGACATCTCACCTGTCTGAACTGAGTACCCCGACATCTCACCTGTCTGACCTGAGTACCCCGACATCTCACCTGTCTGACCTGAGTACCCCGACATCTCACCTGACCTGAGTACCCCGACATCTCACCTGACCTGAGTACCCCGACATCTCACCTGACCTGAGTACCCCGACATCTCACCTGTCTGACCTGAGTACCCCGACATCTCACCTGTCTGACCTGAGTACCCGACATCTCACCTGACCTGAGTACCCCGACATCTCACCTGTCTGACCTGAGTACCCCGACATCTCACCTGTCTGACCTGAGTACCCCGACATCTCACCTGTCTGACCTGAGTACCCCGACATCTCACCTGTCTGACCTGAGTACCCGACATCTCACCTGTCTGACCTGAGTACCCCGACATCTCACCTGTCTGACCTGAGTACCCCGACATCTCACCTGTCTGAACTGAGTACCCCGACATCTCACCTGTCTGACCTGAGTACCCCGACATCTCACCTGTCTGAACTGAGTACCCCGACATCTCACCTGTCTGACCTGAGTACCCCGACATCTCACCTGTCTGACCTGAGTACCCCGACATCTCACCTGTCTGACCTGAGTACCCCGACATCTCACCTGTCTGACCTGAGTACCCCGACATCTCACCTGTCTGACCTGAGTACCATGACATCTCACCTGACCTGAGTACCCGACATCTCACCTGACCTGAGTACCCCGACATCTCACCTGACCTGAGTACCCTGACATCTCACCTGTCTGACCTGAGTACCCCGACATCTCACCTGTCTGACCTGAGTACCCCGACATCTCACCTGTCTGACCTGAGTACCCCGACATCTCACCTGTCTGAACTGAGTACCCCGACATCTCACCTGTCTGAACTGAGTACCCCGACATCTCACCTGACCTGAGTACCCCGACATCTCACCTGTCTGACCTGAGTACCCCGACATCTCACCTGTCTGACCTGAGTACCCCGACATCTCACCTGACCTGAGTACCCCGACATCTCACCTGTCTGACCTGAGTACCCCGACATCTCACCTGTCTGACCTGAGTACCCCGACATCTCACCTGACCTGAGTACCCCGACATCTCGCCTGACCTGAGTACCCGACATCTCACCTGTCTGACCTGAGTACCCCGACATCTCACCTGACCTGAGTACCCGACATCTCACCTGTCTGACCTGAGTACCCCGACATCTCACCTGACCCGAGTACCCCGACATCTCACCTGTCTGACCTGAGTACCCCGACATCTCACCTGTCTGACCTGAGTACCCCGACATCTCACCTGTCTGACCTGAGTACCCCGACATCTCACCTGTCTGACCTGAGTACCCCGACATCTCACCTGTCTGACCTGAGTACCCCGACATCTCACCTGACCTGAGTACCCCGACATCTCACCTGTCTGACCTGAGTACCCCGACATCTCACCTGTCTGACCTGAGTACCCCGACATCTCACCTGTCTGACCTGAGTACCCCGACATCTCACCTGTCTGACCTGAGTACCCCGACATCTCACCTGTCTGACCTGAGTACCCCGACATCTCACCTGTCTGACCTGAGTACCCCGACATCTCACCTGACCTGAGTACCCCGACATCTCACCTGACCTGAGTACCCCGACATCTCACCTGTCTGAACTGAGTACCCCGACATCTCACCTGTCTGACCTGAGTACCCCGACATCTCACCTGTCTGACCTGAGTACCCCGACATCTCACCTGTCTGCCCTGAGTACCCCGACATCTCACCTGTCTGACCTGAGCACCATGACATCTCACCTGACCTGAGTACCCGACATCTCACCTGACCTGAGTACCCCGACATCTCACCTGACCTGAGTACCCTGACATCTCACCTGTCTGACCTGAGTACCCCGACATCTCACCTGTCTGACCTGAGTACCCCGACATCTCACCTGTCTGAACTGAGTACCCCGACATCTCACCTGTCTGAACTGAGTACCCCGACATCTCACCTGTCTGACCTGAGTACCCCGACATCTCACCTGTCTGACCTGAGTACCCCGACATCTCACCTGT